AGTATACACTCTCTGGCAAAGATAAGACAGTTTTCCCCATGGCGTTGCTGCCCTGAATCTCTCCATTTGGAGCACTGGGATGATATTCGTTCTGGATGGCTCTCGAGAATTCCAGGTATTTCAGGTATATAGCGATCATACCCCTGCCCGTATGAACACACGATCATATTTATGAATAGATATGACTGCAATAAAACATATCATGCATGCATATACCCGGTCCCCCTAATATTAAACATCCAGGTTTTTAGTACGGGATTGGAACACATCTGGGACCATAGTTTGATTTTTCTTTAAATGAAGAGGGGAATGGGATTATGAACACAAGTGTAACAACTTGGTTCCCCAAACCCATTGCTTTGTCATTTGGATCCGGAGGATTCCGTGAGCGTCAAAGTGGCGTTGCATGGCCATGGAGTCGTGGCGTGGGAGCAGTTGCAGCACACCACGCCAGAATCCGTGGTTTCAACTGGCAATCGAAGGAGTAAAGTGAAACATATGTAGTAATTGATGGACACCATACCAATTATCCCTGATTTGGTGGACCTCCATTGGTGAAGGAACCAATTATAAGGAACCCAGTTGGAGGGTAGTGAAAGAAAATCTATCTCCTGTGAAGAGTATTCTGTTCTGCAAACTATCTATCTAAGTTCGATGAATACATTGAATCGGCCTACTAGAGTGCGGTTCTCAGCAACTGAATCGACCTATTTGGATTTGGGACATTGAATCTTGAACCTCTCAAATTTTGAGATCGATCGCTCAACTGCATCCATGATGCCTCCAGTGTCGGGGCTGCATGTCAGCACTATGGCCAGAGCCCACTGTGACGACAAACCTTCCAAGATGGCCATATATTGGGGGTATATCCCAGCTTTCCTCATTGCGATTGCAGGGATCTCCTTGTTATCTTACACAACCTCATATGCCATTTATGTACTTAATTTTTGGGAGGGCTAAAAAAAATATCCAGTACAAGTCCGATGGCCAGCAGAAAAGATTAAAGTCAGTGGGCTGAGTTTATCTCCACCTGCTGAAAACTTTGCCGTCTGGCAAATTTCCTGTGCCGGGAAAAGAAGACGCTGTGCTGCGTGGAGTCTGTCCACGTGTCAAGACTTGGGACCGTGGGGCATCAAATACTGACAATGTTCAAGGGTAAGTTAGATCCACTGAAGATACCTCATCCTCCATATTGGTAATTATGGGTATAGGTCAAATTCGGGTACCAGAGGGTCCGCACGATTGATCATTTCTAGCATCAACCTATCCACTTCTGGTATTTGGCGGTTCCCATCTAGTCACTGGTTTATCACCATATTTCTTTCCTGTAAGATAGCATTTTTTCTTTTTGACATATCTATTTTAAGACATGAGAACATATATGCACTGTATGTATATCTTCTACATATTCTCCAACAATCCCTGAATTTTTGTAGTCATATATAGTCCTATACTTACATATATATATATATGTATACATACAGTTATATAGATACATATATATATATAGTTATATATATATGTGTATATATATATGTGTATATATATATGTACAATTATACATATATATATAGTTGCTATATGTAATTGCTAAGATTTGATATAGACAGCCTCGGCAACTCGCAACTTGGTACAGATTGCTGCCAGGGGTGAAGCCTTTGCCTTCGAATCCGAGGTGCCAGAGTTTCTCGGAGATCGGATATCATGGGGATTTAACCAACTGAAATGGCACCTCGGATCATGGGGATGTAGTGGGGATGATATACCCATCCCCCTGTTCAGAAAATTCAGAACATCCCCATTCTATGGTCCCAAGAAATGGTTTCCAGTCCATTATATTTACTATGGGTTTCGTTTAAGGACTGAACGCTGGATGGGTTCAACGAGATGTAAATCCTGAGCACTGGGTGTTGACACCACCAGTACTTCCTGGTGAACATGGCATGCTGGCAACTCTTAAACACATCTAAAAATGGGGTACCAGCAAATTCAACAGATCAGCATTCGTCCCATTCAGCAGAGATTTTTTTTGGGTACCCAGTTGGGATGCAAACATGGTGCACCATGCCCCATTTTGGCTCAAAGAATGGAGAACATTGACCGTCCAAGGCTGGGGCCTCGGTCCCTGGAAAGTCAGAGTTTTCTTGGGAGGTTATTCTGTCGTAAACCACTTATAACCACTTCCGATTTGGGGACAGTGCATACATGTTCACAGAAACCATTTCTAGCATGTCATCTGGGACGGTTTATGATTGGGTTTACCACATTATAAAACTGAGAACATGTAAAATGGAGATGTGGTGTGGTTCCAGTTGTGCATCAGGTTGCCAAGTTTCCCCATTTCAGGGAAACTGGAAAAAACATCTGAAATATCCACATGGATATATTATTCAATCGTGGGTAAGGACCAATGAATCTTCCTGAAAAAAAACAACCCAATGATTCGGAAATCAGGACTCGTGATCACGGTTTTCTCCAGGTCATAGAACCTGCAGCACCCATGGGTGGACGGAACAGTCATTGCCTGTCGGGTGGCCCGAGCAACCATGCCCAAAAGAGTAGGGACAAGGGCATTCTTTACCGCTTAAGCGGTAGAATCCTTTACCTATTGTTTCTCTTGATTCACCTATTGTTTCTCTTGAATATGGATGTGGATCAAAACCCTCGTACATCGTAGTTCATCCCCAGGATTTATGGACATTCATCCCCCTAACAACCTGGTGATTTATAGTTTTTTTACCCCTCCCCACAGTGGCTAGTTGTTTCGCTGCGTTCAATGTCCATGGCGTACCATATCTATTTTGAGCTCTTGGTCCAAAACCCGAGTTTGCGCGTTCCCTTCGCGAACCCACCGCATCAATGCGTCCCGTTCAGTGATTGCAAAAGAGCTACATTTCTTATTGGCAAATGGTTGCCAAAGGGGAGAATGACTTGTTTTCACCAGCGGATCACAGCGGATCATACCAATGCCCAGGTGCGATGTAGACGAAGTGGATGGTGATGTGTGGCTACCAAGGATGTGCACAAGGAAGATGGAGGTTTGTAGAACTTGTCGGAAGTAGGACAAGAAGATCCTTGTAGTTGACAGCCAATTGATTTGTATCGATTCACTTTCAAGTTAGTGTCCAGGGTTCATTCCTGCGTGTTCTAAGATTTTTGTGAACCAACCAGCTCAACCAGCTTTCCTGATGGTAAAAACTTAGTCCATCCCAGACTTGCTGGAAAGGGCGAATTTGTATTGATTTACCACATTCAGCCCCTGCATTTTTTCCCTCAAATCAAACCACTGATCCACCTTGGCACCAAGAACAGCGCCAACTTCTTGGAAGAGAAGGCCTCTGGGCCGAGCGAAGTCCGGTCTGGGCACCAAGGATTCCATGGGTTTAATTGAGACGGGGATGTTTCCGGGTCACGTAGAAAGGATTTCGGATGGATCTTTGGGTGGCAGCTTTTCTTTTTAAAGCATGGAACAGGAATACCCCGGTGGGAGAATTCTCTTCATCTCAACAGAACTCTCCTGCATTTTATTGAGCCGTCTTTGTGGATCTTCACCAGGCTCTGATGGAAATCCCCTGCACTGCAGACACCCTGAGGCCGCTCTTCACATACGAGAATGGCGCGACCTATCACGGATCCTGGTGGGAGACCTCATTCTTCAACATTTGCCATTTTTTTTTTTTTAAATTTTTTCCGCAGCAATCCACCAGAAAACAAACAAGGAGATTGGGGAACAATGCATCCTTGCGGCAGGATGGGGGAGTTGCGACATGGTCACGGAGAACAGGACCGGAGTTGCGTACCCAATGATCTGGTCCATGCCTGGGAGTTCTGCCAGTCTTTTCTTTAAATGTTGTGTGAAGTTTCCTTACCTATTTCAATGAAAAACATGGAGAACTCATGAAAAACATGGAGAACTCATGAAAAACATGGAGAACTCATGAAAAACATGGAGAACTCATGAAAAACATGGAGAACTCATGAATAATATCTGTATTGAACAATTATCTGAGGATTTGTATTGATGGTACTACCTTCGGAACAAGTAACTATAGCAAAGAAATACCCATGACATACCCATGATATCCCCACTGTATCCCAATTATATTCCATTCTGTTTCAAGACTTTTTCGTTATCATGGTCATATACCCCAACATCGTATATCCTCTGACATATCCTACTATGTATGTATTTACGTACGTATACATGCATACATACATACATACATACATACATACTGCATACATACATATCCCAATACACAAACATGTAAATTACATACGTTACAGCATCCCAATATATATATATATGCGCATGTATGTATATGGAGATACATATACATATATACACATATACACATATACACATATACACATATACATATATACACATATACACATATACACATATACACATATACACACATATACAGATATACAGATATACAGATATACATATACAGATATACAGATATACAGATATACAGATATACAGATATACATATATACATATATACATATATACATATATACATATACACATATACATATATATATCTATATACATATATATATATTAAAAATATCTATATATATACATATACATACATGCATATATATATATATATGTATACATACATATATACATATACATATATACATATATACATATATACATATATACATATATACATATATACATATATACATACATACATGCATATGTACCCATCATATCCCCATGGATGTGGCAGATGTGGCCTGACGGAGCCCGCTATTGTGGTGAGTGGGTCAGGAGCCCGGAGGGATAGCAACAAACCTTGGGAGAAATCACTGTATATATATAATATACATACTGTATATATCGTTACATATGCATATCTATATACACGATGATACCCAGCAGGCGGCAAGTGAGATTCGTGGGGCCCACAGCATGACACAGTTGTCGCCCCAGGTGATGGACAAAGCCCATGGCCAAGGCCGCTTTGAGCATGTGGACGGCGATGTCGGTCCCCCGGGATTCGCAGGGGTGAACAGGTTGATGGTTTTGAGGATAGCGGAACCTGTTATCATTTCAATGGTACCCTTGTTTTTCCGCCTGTTTTGAACTGAAAAATGTTTCCTGGTTTAGGTTTGTCTGAACATAGGGTACCACTAGAGCCATTGATTAATTATCATTTTCCTTGTTCAAATGGCCATAGAATGTCATATATTATATGAATTTATATTGGAGGTTTACCAAATTTTCAGAGACACCTGTCTGTTCAACTGCCATCAGCACTACTGCCTTCTTAACCCGCAAAACTAAGGTCTACGAAGGCCAGTGGCAGGCAGACAAGGCACATGGACAGGGCATGTGGGGAGCCTCAGTCGACTTGGATCCACACATAGCTATCATAGGTATGCCATTTTGGTTGTTTGATCCTTTTCATGGTGCCAACTTTACAAAGATGCCACCCACTTGTGTTTTTTTGACAGAGATGGAGCAGCCCAAAAAAAAGCCGCCCGGACAAGGTACCAACACGCAGATGGCTCTCGCTATGAAGGACAATGGAAGGAGGACAAACAGCATCTTGCTGAGCACTTTCAAACCCCAAAGTGTGCATGTGTATGTACATACAATAAACATATATATATATTATATTATATATATGTATATATATATGGATATATATATATATATATATGTATGTATTAACAGATGTGTCTAAAAATAGTTAAGATATACCTATGTATAGATATATATACATATATATAAAAGTAACATACATATGTATAGATGTATATAGATGTATGTGTGTGTGTGTGTCCAAATAATGCATGGAAGGGTGTATGATCTTGCATGCGCATTTGTCTGTCAGAGGTCTGCACCAAATCTTGTTACATACATGTGTTTGGCATGAATCATTCATAGCGTGGGTATGTTCAGCAACAAACAATGGGGATAGTTTGCAGCAACCCAGGCACGGCAAAGGCATCGAACTCTGGCCTGATGGCAGGGACACCCGGGGCCCTTCAGAATGCCATGATGCAACTGGCTTTCTCTTCAGTTTTTTTCACAGCTGATTCTAAGGTGCCAGATACCAAGGCGAATACTTGGTCCAAAGCCCAGTTTTGACCAGTGACATGTGATATTTATGACAATGAATCTCTACTGCAGCATGATCCGTCTTTAGATCTCAAACAGTTGATGGCAAGATTTGCCACATTTTTACTGGCATATCTCGCGGCCATTTTGTCATATCCATTTAAGAGCAGTGTTGATCCAGCTCCTCTTGGTCAATGACTTGATCAGTTTGGGGGTTATAACCTATCCTGCATATCTTGAGGATTATAGGCTTGAAGAGCAAATTATTATCCGAACTTTCTATATGATGTGGGATGTGATCATCATGTTCTGAACCCCTTCCACTTTGGCCCCGCCTTGGTCCTTGAGGAGGGCCGGAAAAATGGTCATGGCAGCTTCAGCTGGGCAGACCGATCCAGCTATGAGGTGTGCGAAATGGCTGGGACGTTTGATGATTTTGGTGAATGGGTGGAAAGTCTTGGTGATCGTTGCTGGTCTTATTTTTTTTGGTCAGACTATAAACCATCAAACATGGTGAGGATAGTTAGGATTGGTGCAATCATCCCCAGGTAGGTTTGCGAATGCTCGTAATTCGCCCTGGAAGCTTTCCACCTGGAATCAACGCATATCACAGATGGGATAGGATACGACCGGCAGTAGCGGGAATGTTTCCCAACAGTGGAAAAACAAACACAAGTTATCACAAGTTCACCATGATCGGAGATCTGGAACTTGGTGAAAGCTGCGAGAGAACAATGATTTTCATGATCCGTTGGGGTTTGGGGCCACATTTTTTCTTATATATTGGAGCTTGATGATGTAGATTTGGGGTTGGCACTCGCATCCTTCGAAGATATTTTGAGTGGGGGCATGTTCTCCATGGCGTTGCATTTCAGGGTGGCTTTCGTGACAACGAGATCAATGGCGAAGGTCTCTACATTTGGGTCTGCCTGGCGCTCTTGCGTCTTGCAGCCCTCATATGCTCTCAGAGACTTCTTGAGTGGAGCCTGGTCAAAAACATCCAACCATCATTGTGTGGTGATCCATTTGGGTTTGTTCAAGAATAGGGTATCCCGGTATCCCCCAAATCTAGTGAGTAATTCCTCATTGTCCCTATCAGATGGCCACATCTTTTGACAGGGCGATGGCCGAAGATACCAAGGTCAGTGGGTTCGGGGCACCCAGTGGCGTGTCGCAAAGCTTTGGAACTTTCTTTTCAAGCCGAAATGTGAGAATGTTGAAAAAAAGAACACCCTGCGAACCGCCACAGGTTTTTGAACAATTTTCTGCAAGCCCAGACCTGCCCTGGACATTGTGGGGAACAACCATGTGCTTGCCCTGTGCTTGCCCTGTGCTTCATGTTGTTTAAAGTCTGGCCAAGGTTAACAATCGGATGCATGGCCATGGCGTGTTTACTTGGGCAGACGGCCGCATGTACGTCTGGTGGCTCAGAAACAGGAGCAATGTCTCGTTTGGTCCAGCAGGCACTACTGCACAGAGAATATCTCATATCACTAAGACACCAACACCATAATCATAGACTTAAGAATCACATTGTGCTACTTAAGTCCACGGTGTCATATTTATAAGAACAAACAACTATTTGAGACTATTTGACTGTTTCATATTGTTTCACCCGTTTCTCAAAACTGCTTGGGGGGAGATTTCTCATTTTTTATCTGAGGATTACTTTGATTGAACAAGGGACAACCAACATGTGCCTCAATCGCAGCACAACCTGCGTTTCCGATCTCCAGGAAGGGCAATACAAGGAAGTTGAGGCCTCAGATGGGCTGCCACGGTGCCAAAACGATCGCCATCGCCACTGTGGCCGCCACGTGGCCGCCAAGGATTCGAAAGATGGACATGGTGTGTCAGGAAGCCCAGCATCGTTCCGCTTGGCGGAACCCATGAAGGAAGACACTGTGGCACCAAGGGGTTGATGATATTTCTGATATTTTCTGATTATCTCATGTCATATCAGATCAGCATTCATTCATATATATATTCTACATATTCTACATATTCTATATATTCTATATATTCTATATATTCTATATATATATTCTATATATATTCTATATATATATTCTATATATATATTCTATATATATTCTATATATTCTATATATATATATTATATATTATATATATATTCTATATATATTCTATATATTCTATATATATTCTATATATTCTATATATTCTATATATATTCCATACATATTATATATATATATTATATTCTATATATTATATATATTCTATATAATATATTCTATATTATTCTATATTATTCTATATTATTCTATATTATTCTATATATTCTATATATATTCTATATATTATATATATATTCTATATATTCTATATATTCTATATATTCTATATATTCTATATATTCTATATATTCTATATATATATTATATATTCTATATATATATATTATATTCTATATATTATATATATTCTATATAATATATTCTATATATTCTATATATTCTATATATTCTATATATTCTATATATTCTATATATATTCTATATATTATATATATTCTATATAATATATTCTATATATTCTATATTATTCTATATTATTCTATATATTCTATATTATTCTATATTATTCTATATTATTCTATATTTTTCTATATCATTCTATATTATTCTATATTATTCTATTTGTATCAGGGTATCAGGGTATATCATAGTAGATGCATCTCACAATCTTATCCGATACCATCTGACATCATCTGATAGTATGCTTAATAGTCATGAGCATAATGATAATGATAATGATAATGACAACAATGATGGTAATGGTAGCACTTGCTAATGCTACTCATTATTTCATGGTATTAACATATAGTCACAACAATGAATGACCAACATATAACGGTTATAACATGTTAGTATTGTTATTGTTGTGGCTGTTGTTGGTAGTGTTATCATATTGTAATGCTAACCCGAAACAACACGAACAACAGCAATAACAATAGCCACAGCACAGCATTGCGGCGTTGCGTCCCCAGGTTCTCCTGGCCGGATGGACGGAAATACGATGGACAATGGTCGGGGGACCAGCACTGATTTGTTGTATGGAATCAAACTGGAATAGTACATATATGAACATACATACATACATACATACGTACGTACGTACGTACATACATAGATACATACATAGATACATACATAGATACATACATAGATACATACATAGATACATACATAGATACATACATATATACGTACATAGATACATACATAGATACATACATAGATACATACATAGATACATGCATGGATACATGCATAGATACATACATAGATACATGCATAGATACATACATAGATATATACATAGATATATATACATAGATGCATACATAGATGCATACATAGATACATACATAGATACATACATAGATACATACATAGATACATACACAGATACATACATAGATACATACATAGATACATACATAGATACATACATAGATACATACATAGATAGATACATAGATACATAGATACATAGACACATAGATACATAGATACATAGGTACATAGATACATAGATACATAGATACATAGATACATACAGACAGACAGACAGACATACATACAATCATTCATACATACATACATAGATACATACATACATAGATACATAGATACATAGATACATAGATACATAGATACATAGATACATAGATACATAGATAGATAGATAGATAGATAGATAGATATATAGATAGATAGATAGATACATACATACATACATACATACATACATACATACATACACATATATATATATATATATAAAAGTGGAACATGAGTGGCACTTCACTAGAATGAGAAAGTGGAACAGAAGTGACATCTGAGCGGAATATACTTGTAGGTATAATTGGACCATTAATTCATTATACCTGGAGTACTGCTGGAATAGTTGTTTCATGTTCAGTTTCACTTGTAAACACCCACATTATGTCTGTGTGTTTTCCTAAAAACATGTTTTCTTTTTTGGAAGAAGGTTTCATCCGGAAGCACCTTGTGTTTCACGGATTATGCTGTGATTTCCACATCATTTCACAAACTTTCCAATGATGGTTCGGTGACGGTTGTTGTGGGGGTATATTGAGTGGTCTAGTGAGGATAGTTACGTATAATTCAATGTGGAACCCCAAGACGAATAAGTCAAGTTAGACCTTGGATTGATAAACCGTTGCTGATTGTCTAGGGGTTGCCCCCCCGAAAAATGTGATATCATTGTTTCCTTTTAACACACATGGTTCATTTGCCCAAGGTCATTTTGGTGTGTCAAATAGTGTATGCCCCAAAAATTGCCACTTTAATGTAGTAAATCATTGTTAACGAATGGATTTAGGGGTCCCCAATGGTCTCCCTCCCGTCAACCAGCCGATGGTATTTTCGCCAGGCGGGATGGCAAGCAGCACGGCACCGGCTCCTATGCGCGGGTGCTGAGAAAGGAACATCGCCATGATTGCATTGTTTGGTTCCTAAATATGGTGTTGGCTCACAATACGGTGGGTGGAAGAAATCCTGCACCACCTCTATAACCTTACATTTGCTAATGCATAACTTGTGCCCCCGCACCCCCAAGCTCAATGTTGAATGACATGTTAACAGGTGGTGCAGGATTTCCGTCACTCGCACAAATCCATTTTGATCACTGTGTCTTCAAACAATATTAAATTAGGAGCGCGAGGTTTCAAGTGTAGGCCTTTAAAAGTGGTGCAGGATTTCTTCCATCAACAGTGGTTTACCCCAAGATTTGATTGTTTATCAATGTTAATCATAGAATTATTATCATACCCCCCATTTTCAAATAAAAGCGGTCATCAATTGCGAAATTCCCCATTTTCAGACACACCCATGTGGTGAAACGAGTCAGGTTTTATCCCGCGAGGGCTGTTGAGATTTACCCACCGAAAATGTGGGAATTGGATAACTCTACCAAGCGCTGATTTTCCTTGGGGATATCTTGATGTTCCCTTCGCACACGCGCTTGAAAAAGAACTTAGTGATAGGTTGGGTCTCTATCTGAAGTGTGATTTTTTTGAATGGATCACTTGGCAAAAGTTGGTGCCTCTGATTCTGACTTGTCAATTGCTTCACTCAATGGGACGTCGCCCGGTATAGCTGGATGGTTGATAGAAGACATCCTGTACCAATGGGTTGTCGTGTGCGTATGGATAGTGGCGGGATACAGAATAGTTGGGTACCTAGGACCTAGATCCTTTTGTTCTCCCACACAAGTACCTGTACAGTACTGGTATGTGTATGGAGGCACGTTGATAAACGCCCTTGGTGTTTTGTTACATGTCGGCCAAATTTCCACTACATCATGTGTTCCGGGGGGTGGGTTGGGGGGTTTTACTTTCTTGTCGTGTGCGTGCTGATATATATATATATACATGTATATAGTTCAACTCTCTCTTTTTCTTGGAACTTCTAAGACGCTCTTGATGCTACGCTTTCAACATGTTCTTGGAACTCCTGCTACGCTTTCAACATGTTCTTGGAAATTCTAAGACGCTCTCGATGCTACGCTTTCAACATGTTCTTGGAACTTCTAAGATGCTCTTCATGCTAAGCTTTCAACATGTTCTTGGAACTTCTAACACTTTTTTCATGCTACGTGAACATCACGTCTCTTCAGTCTCTTCACGTCAAAGACAGACCTGGAGGTGGCATTGCTGAACAACTAATGTCGTATGTTTGGGGTTTCGTGTGGCGACACAATTTGGGCAACCATGCCAACTTGACCAAAGAGTTGGGAAAGATCATGTATGTGACTTGGAATGAACCGGGCGAGCAAATGAAAACCTACTTTTGAACGAAATGGAGGCTGGTAGAGGCAAAAGCAAAACTAACTTGCAAATACCAATAGAAAACGAACATGTGTGCGTGCTAAAACCACAGCGAAACGCTACTTTCATTTTCACACAAAGCACAAAGTGCTGTAAGGGCTGCAAAATTTGAACATGGAGACATGCCTAAATCAACTAATAACCCAAGGGCAAATATCCGCGTGTGACCATGTATATATGTATATATATTTACATACATACAATATATATATATATATGATTCTATTTACACATAGACATACATATGTACATACATTATATATATATATGTATGGCTATACATATACACGTATAGATGTATGTATATACACATATAGATATGTATATATATATATGTATGTATGTATGTATGCATGCATGCATGCATGTATGTATGTATGTATGTAATGTATGTATGTAATGTAATGTAATGTTCTGCAATGTAATGTCATGTAATGTAATGTAATGTAATGTAATGTATATATGTATATATGTATATATGTATATATGTATGTATGTATGTAATGTAATGTAATGTAATGGAATGGAATGTAATGTAATGTAATGTAATGTAATGTATGTATGTATGTATGTATATATGTATATATGTATATATGTATATATGTATATATGTATATGTATATATGTATATGTATACATGTACAGATATGTTTGCAGACTACTTTTGTGGATCTTAGGGTATTTCCCACCAGTACCCGCAGATCCTCAGCTGCGTTTCAACGGATGCATCGCGGGCCCCTCAAACCAAGGTCAGTCTTGCACAGGAGAAGAAGCAAGGACACACCTAAATGCTAGGGATTTTGGTGGGGATTTCATGGTGGTGTATTTGGATACAAACCAACAATTGGATATTTGGGCATGTCTGAAAATGGGCTATGGCCCACCCAGAATGGTAATTTCAAGGGGACAATTATGATACAGTAATCCATGAGATTTTGAGGTACCCTTTCTAAAGACAAACCCAGTGAGTAAGGGGCTGGCGGGTCGTTCCCTTCCCAACTATACTTAAGTATATGGGTTTGTCCCAAAAATAGGAGATACCTGAAAGCGGGCAGAGTTAGGTTCTCAACCATAGAAATTTGCAGACAAAGTCATAAACTTCGCCTTAAACCTTCTAACAACTGATGTTACCCAGTTGTGAACTGGGATGCGCATCCATGTTGTGCACCGTTTCTGCTGCGAATGGACGTTTTTGCTAGATCCATTCGTGAAATCATGGGCAGCGAGATTTGTCATTGTTTTTTCCTGAAAAGACATCTACACCCTGATGATTTGTTCTTTGTGCCAGCTTGATCTAGCAGCTTGATATAAGCGGCGGGACTTTGGTGTTGCAATAGGAATTTTGTTTGGTTCAGTTCCTTAAGATGTCATCTTAAAACGGAACGTTGTGGAACCTTTGTGTTCCACTGGTAATTCCATCAGGAGTGTGGGAAGACGGACGACGCGTGAGATGGTTGGAAGATAACGCTCCAGTTGCTTGAGCAGCCCATGGGGATATCTCAAGCCATGGCCCAGTTGATAGCCATCAACAAAAATGAGGTTTGGCCCGAAACACACATAGCTATAGAAAATGCACATTTATAGATGATTTATCTAATTTATCTATTCCACAGCTATGTTAGTTTACCACAGGGTAAACTGTGTGATGAAAGGGGCTTCCAAAGTCTCAGATAAAAGATACGTCAAGATAAGACAAGTCATCGTAAACGAATTTTTTACTTTTCCCTGTGGGAGTTGGGCGACGACCATACAGAAATTAACTGCCAGCACTTTGGCACGGTTGCCAGCCCGAGCGATATTTTGTTTGAACTCTTAGAATCACAACACAACGGGGTGTGTCTGGGCAGGAAAAGGGCCAGTGTCCAACCCTTCCGCAGCCTGGGCTGCCCTCTGGCTGGCACCGTGTCGCAGACGCCATTCGCATCCGTCGCGCCCTGACAAAGCTCTGAGCATGCGGCAGATCTGAGACAGACAGCCGAGAAGGGTCCCAAAAGCAATCGAGAAAACTTAGGAGTTAATCAGCGCAAATTTTCAATGCTTATTTAATTCAGACTTAGCAGGATTTCCAATCAAAATGGCGACTTTCCATTTGGGGGGTTCGAACTATTCCACCATTTCGGATTAGTGGTGACGTTTCTGTAGCTCCAAAGGTTGCAAATCGTAAAGACCTATGAAGACCTGGTCCAAAAGAGCTAAGAAACCGTTTTCATCTTCTTTTAAAAATCAATTGTTGACATGATGCCCCGAGCAGATTCCTTTGACTCGAAAGGACCAACTGTTCACTTTCATGGATGATACTTGGTTCGCGAAGAAGGAGTTTGACGATACCATTCTTTGTCCTTGGAAATGGTTCTTAAGCAATGCAAAAACCGGAGAATTCCAACCAGCTCGGATGCCTGTTTTCGGGGCTGAAGCGTCCCACGTGCTCCACGAGTGGCTTGACCCTCATGATAATGCTTTGCACTGGAAAAAGACCTGACAGCATTTTAACGTGGAAAGTCACCGTAGTGCCATGACCTGGATGGGTGGGAAGGGAAGCAAGACGATGGTTTAAGATGTTTACTTTCAACGTGCAACTACGCTTCTGCAAAACATGAAAAAACCAGGTCCACTATTGGTTCGCGATTTCAAGCACTTCATACATTTCCAACCCCCCCAGTGACTAAAATGATTCTAATGGGGATGATTTCAAGTTTTTTAAGACAAGATCCCCCTTCTTTCATCCCTATGCGTTCCTGCCAGGGCAATGAGGTTCCCAGGCAGATCGCAGCAGGGATTGTGGGCGGAGCGAAGTGGCAACTTAATACGTATTGGTTTCCTGGATTTCCTCATAACAGACAGTTTGGACCCATCTGGTGGATGGCAGTACCAGAAACACCTCACTAAGATATGAATAGGTGTGAAAAACCATCTATCTACTTCAGGATGATTCTACAGTGAGCTATATAGTTTTGCAAAGTATATAATTATTATTCCCATTTTAATTATCATTTGTTTCCCAAGATCTACAACATTCTAGTGATAATGGTTATTATTATTATGCTTATCATAATTATAATACTTATTACTAGAGTTATAATAGTTATAATCTTCTACGATAGTCATCTGCAGATGCCGTTTTTCTACTACAGTAGCCTCTGGTAATTTAACAATATTTAACTAATATCTTTGGAATTGAAAATGGTGATTTCCCATAGTTATGTTAGTTTACCAGAGGGTAATAGTTATCTACTACATATATTCAGTAATAATGGGAAATCACAATAACTATTATAATGTTTAACCACATATAATGTTGGCTTAACTATTTAATAGTTATCTACTACAGTTATAATGGTTTTCTACGATATAATTCTTAATTCAGCCTCCGAAGCCAGGTCTCCGGAGACCTGCACGTGGCACCGGCAAGTTCTTGGATTGGACTCCTGCAGGGTTTTTACCGGTTAGTAAATTCAATGGTTGGTGGGAATAAATAATGCCTAGGTTGTAACCATAAAGACATAGTTGGTAAGTTGAACCAAGTCATTTCTTGTTTTTTTTGGCCATGTTGATGGGAAATTGGACTACGTGACTCAGAGCTCAAGTGGAGATTAAGTTTTTTCTTTTTGAAATCTCAAAGGTGAACCATGTGGATGTCATTTTATGTTCAGCTACCAGACTGACAGCCTGCGGACAACTTTAGATTTTGAACAAAAAACATATTGAGAAACACAACACTTTAAAGATAGGAAATTGATTGAAAACAAAGGATGAGGCAGCTCCCAAATTCCACCAGAATCCCTTGCCGTCCCTTACCACGTGATTTTGGTACAGGTCCAGGGAAGCGTTTTCCGAGGACAGGGCTGCTTCCGAGACAGAGTCAGGTGGGCCCTTTGGTAAACTAACAGACATTAACAGTTTGCTATGGAACACCACCTATCTTCTACAATAGGACCATATAGGACCATCAACGAACTAAATGGTCGCATTTTTATGCTAAATTACCGGAGGGTAGATAGCCCAGTTGGTTTAGGACAGACGACCAAGTTTTTAGCCTTTGAATCAGCGAATTTTGTTTAATATGATAGGATTTCCATCACTGGTCACAAGCAACAGATGGCAGCTGAACAGTGAGCGATTTCAGCAAGATCCATCCTAGACATTTGGTGCAACTGCAATCTGAACGTTGACAGAAGATGGACGAATGAGACTCTTCGAAGCACTGCATATTGACAAAGAGTGATTTTGAATGATTCGTTTGTGGGTGCAGACAAGCCTAGTAGCCCAAATTTATTGGTTGCTTCTTTAGAGGCATTATGTCTTTGAACATGGCGGAGTGCCAGCATCAAAAGCCCATCAGCCCATCAAAGAACCATCAAAGAACCATCAAAGAACCATCAAAGAACCATCAAAGAACCATCAAAGAACCATCAAAGAACCATCAAAGAACCATCAAAGAACCATCAAAGAACCATCAAAGAACCATCAAAGTCCGCCACCTCTCGCAATGAAGCGGCGCATCTGCTGGCTTCTTTGCTTGGTCAAGGACTCAGAGTTTGGTGAAGACATTTTCAAAGTGCCGCAAGCAAAAAGGAGTTGCATCAGGTTTTCTATCGGACACTTGTCCAATCTGCTACCCTTTAATATAAGCGCTGTCACGAAATTCGAGCAGTGCAGCTCGACCTGGTTCCCTAGCGCCTTCTCATTGCAACTGCAGTTGGTTGAAGAGGAACTTTACAGGAACACCGCAGCCTCTGATTGGGTCTAAAAAACCATGGTTTCCAGCATAAATTGTCCCTTCAACCAATTCATTCAAGCTTCCTGACCCGAGCCCCAGACCCTGAGCAACAGCGAAGAGCTGACAGAGGGGCCATCTGCTACTGTTACCTTGGCAAAAAATGCAGCAGTTTCAGGGCAATCCACCAGTAGAATCAGGCGCTGGGTAGAGTCACAGGTGAATCAGCACAGATTTGACTTGACTGCTTCAAACCTCATGTTGAGATCATGAAAGGGATGGGATAACTAAAATCATGACCTTCCTCCCATCATCTTACGTCTATGTTTTTTCAATTTTTTGCTGAGTCATGCCGCATTTTTGGTTGCTTCTATGCCCATTTCTTGATAGATAAATCTATCTATCTATCTATATATATATATAGTGATGGTTCAACCCCAGTCTTGGCCCTGTTTCGAAGTTCCACGGCTTTATGCTCAACCGGCATCAACCTCTCAATCCCCCTCATCAAACCATCATGAGCCATCTTCCATCTTCATTATCTCAATGGGATGTTTGAAACTAGGGGATGCCCCCCAACTTTTTTAATGTCTTGGTGAAGTTCATCATTCATGTTCCCAAAAAAGCAATCCACCTTACGTTTTTTTTTCCGCAGAAAATGCAAATGATTTCTGAACACACCATTTCACACATATTCACGCGCGAAACCATTGCAATAAACAACGTCCATTTGGGGATAGTAAATGGTGATTTTTTTGGATGGTTCATTACAAGAATCCCACTAGTTATCCAAACAATCATCCTTATAATGGTTTCCTCAGGTTTAATATTTCTTCTTCTAACCCATCATCATCCCTCAATTCCAAATTTTATTTGTATGGGTTTACCACCCATAAAAATGGTGATAACTCGGGAATACCATTAAAGAACCACTGAGGTAAGCGCCTTGAGCGCCCGCGTGGCGCAGTTGAGAAGCGAGCTGCAGGCGGCCGAAGAGGCTTTAGCAGAGGCGCAGGCGGAAGCGCGGGCAGTTTTTTTTTTTCGGGGTAAACCTACTGTTGGTAGATGGTTTCTCCCATGATAATCCCATCAAAAGTCCTAGTGTTTTCGGGTGGTCAAAGAGTCAAAGGCTGATGTTGGATGGTTTTTGTCCAATGTCTACGAGGATGCTGACCTCTCGCTGGCTCCCTGGGAGCAACCTGCCAGGGGCCTCAGGGGCCTGCCTCAGGGGGCCTCAGGGGCCAGGAGATTATTGATCAATGACAGTTGGTGAGTTAATTTTAATGGGGAATGCTACTCTCAAACACTCAAACATGCGGGTTTTAAAGCACCAACAACATGGGGATAGAGTTGATAGCTGCTATAGCTGATGGTTGATGGCTGGTTATGAAATTGTGAGCTTGCCCACAATAGGCATAGGGGATGGGATGGGTATTTTTCATGGCTGGGGCTGAACCATCCCAGTTATTCCTGGTTCCCATGTTTGGTTTTTGTTGCTGAACCAGTCTCCATATATTCTGGACTCTGGATCTCTTTTGTGCTTCAATATTTGGGGGGATGAAGACCATATCATAGCCAACTTCAGTCTCTGGAATGTTGGGAATCTGGGTTTGTCTTTTCAATAGGTTACCCATCAACCACTGCGGTTTATTGTCATGTCCCCACACTCAAAATTGTATTTTTGGAGGTATACCCCATTTTTAGACAGACTCGAAGCATCACGCTGTTGGTTAGTATGTCCTATTAATTCGCATTATATCCCCATCAAATCCAGATGTCCCCACCATTATCCATCACCATCCCATTAATCTCATCCCCCCTATCTTCCACACCCCCATGCTGTCCCAGAGATGTTTTCCAATCCCTTCCATCCACCATGGTTATGGGGGTGTCAAATGTGCACGGGGCAAGGGATCATTGACCAATAGACTGTAGGTTCATTGGAATACTCTCTGGTAATTTACCCATGGCTATGGAAATTGGCTATTTTAACAGGTAAATCATGGAACTAAATGGGCATTTTTTCCAATAGCAAACTGCTAACTAAACTACCAGTACCCATAGTTTTGATTATAGAAAAACCTGAGAAACTATGCGAAAGCTTGCCAAAGCCCTTCATTGTCCAATTTTTATCCCCCGAAGATCAGGGTATCCCAATTTCATGATGTGATTGCGGCTCAAAATGTGCCCCGATGAATGCCTTGGGGATCCATACCCAAAAATGACAAGTTGTACTTATACCAGGCTGCTGTAGTATACTTTTTCAGTAGTACATGTAGTACGGATCACAGCTCTTATACGTAACTCAATCGTTCCATACGTCCGGATCACCATGGAACGATCGTAATATCCGTTTTTTGAGCCATACCCGATACACATGTCACATATCATTGTCGAAGGAAGTTTAGAAGTCAAACTTCCGACAATATGGACAGATGAAAAGCAGAGATGGGCAGAGTCAGAGAAGAGAAGAGAAGAAGAAAGAAGATCAAAAAAGAGAAAGTCCCAGAAGAAGATCCAGGTGCGCGAAAAGGTAGGAAAGTCGCGAAACACTCTGTTTTTCCAATGATTTGTGGCTCCGGAGGGTCGAAAAGTAGGCTTGCTAAAGCGGCGGGTGTGGAGCCAGCTGGCCAGATGAGAGATGAAAAATTGCACGCCGTTGTGGCGAGAAGCACATTTGCAAGTGAAAAAGCTACAGACACCTCACGTTCGGAGCACCTTTGGAAGTTGAGATGTCAAAAAAGTGCACGCCGTTGTGGCGCGAAGCACGTTTCGAAGTCAAAATGTACAAAGCACACCAGCTCCGGACCACTTTTGGAAGTTGAGATGTCGAAAAAGTGCACGCCGTTGTGGCGCGAAGCACATTTCGAAGTCAACATGTACAAAACACAACATGTTTGCGCCACTTTTGGACTTTGAATTGTCGTTTCGCGTGGCAGGCGCAAGGGATTGCGCACCGTATTAAAAGTGAGCAAAACGTGAGGGTTTTGTAGCATTTCAAAAACGATTGCAGGCGTGGGACATTGGAAGAGGATCTGCAAAGATGCATTTTCCGTGGCAGGCGCAGTACAAGAGACATGTTCATCAGAGCTGTTAGGAGGTCCGGGCGCTGATTTCCTGAGAGGGGTTGCATTTTGGAGCATCAGATCTTCAGGTTTGCTAAGATGATTTTGCGTGACAGGTACACCACTTCATATGACCTGGCATGACTTTTTCGTGGCAGGCGCAGTACTTTAGACAGATAGAGTGGAAACATCGCAAAACGCATTGGTACGAGGGCGTCAGCTCTGCACTCAACTTTCCATTTCTGAAGGAAGTCTCGCAGAATTGCTTCGTTTTTGATGTTGTCAACTTTGAAAAATGAGGAAGTCTCGCAGAATTGCTTCGTTTTTGACGTTGTCAAGTTCAAAACGGAGGAAGTCTCGCAGAATTGCTGCATTTTTGATGTTGTCAAGTTCAAAAGCTGAGGAAGTCTCCCAGAATAGCTTCGTTTTCAAGCTTGCAGATAGATAGACAGATAGACCTTGAGACTTTAATAGTAGCAAGGGAGCTTTATGTTAAAAATGATTTTATTTATGATTTTTTTTGATTTTAATATGATTAAATTTATGATTTGTTTTTTTTCGCTTTTTTCTTTATGAAAAAAATATGATGAAATTTATGATGAAATTTATGTTGTTTTTTCGTTCTGGCATTTTTATGTTTTTTTTTTAAATGTTTTTTTTTAATGATTGTTTTTATGATTTTTTTTAAATGATTTTTCTCGGCATGAAAAACCATAAAAAAAACATCATAAAAAATCATAAAAATATCATAAACAATCAAAAATATGATTTTCTGATTTTTTTTAATGATTTTTTTTTAAAATGTTTTTTTTTAATGATTTTTTTAAAATGTTTCTTTATGATTATTTTTTGTGTTTTTCTACTTTTTTTCTTCGAAACCAAGTGAAACTAAATCATAAATTTCATCATAAAAAATCATAAATTCAACCATAAAAAAATCATGAAAAATCATATCTGAAAATTTCCCGTTTTTTTTTCGGACATAGTGAAATCATTAACAAACATAAAAAGATCATAAATAAAATTATTTGTATAATTCTTGTTTAAGCTAACGTTTAAAGTCTCAAAGATAGACACAGAGAGAGATAGATAGATAGACAGACAGACAGAGAGAGAGAGATAGATAGATGGATGGATAGATAGATAGATAGACAGATAGATAGATAGATAGATAGGTAGGTAGGTAGGTAGATAGTCAGAGAAAGAGAGAGAAAGAGAGAGAAAGAGAGAGAAAGAGAGGAGACCTCAACCACCTTTCGGTCCATCAGTGGCTTTGCTCTGCCATCCGTGAATCACAACAACCAACCTCTCCTATAGGTTTCCTATTTCTGAAACTTCCGCCACCGCCTTGTGCGGTACTACTGGTATCATCTTATGTTAACTATATCCCCAAGAGTATATCATGTTTCATGATTTTCCCATAGTATCATTATATATATATCATATCCCAATCATTTCACCCTTGGCGACTTTTCCCATGTCTTCACCAGGCCGTGTGCAACGCGCGGATGCGGACGTCGCATCTCCTGGAGGCCTCGGCGTATTTGACGAAGCAGCACGCCTTGCGCGCACCGTTCCTGCGCAGAAAACGACCCGTTGCGCAGATTTCATGGAGATTTCATGGGATTTACTGGGGATTAATGAGATTTACTCTCTCTCTCTCTATATTATATATATAATGGGAATTATTGAAATTTCGTGGGATTTAATGGGAATTAATGGGATTCAATGGGGAGCATTAGAGATCTAATGAGATGCATGCCAAACAATATGAGTTACTATGAGTTACCCTCTGGTAAACTAACAGTGTGCTATGGAAATCATCATTTTCTATACTGTAGGCAAATCATTGAACTAAATGGGTTATTTTCCATAACTACGGTAGTTAGTTTACTGGAGAATATACTGTTCCTTGTATATGAATATATGGACATTGTATTTCAGTATATATATATATATTATTATTAGGAATATATGTATCATGGATAGATAGACAAGATAAGATGAGATAGGATCAGATCAGACAAGATAGGATAGACAGACAGACAGGCAGATAGATATATAGATATATAGATATATAGATATATAGAAATATAGACAAAAAGATATATAGATATATAGATATATAGATATATAGATATATAGATACGTATGCTACTGCCCCCCAAATGTCCACCTTTCTTTATCCATATACTGTACACACACACATATATATATATATGTATAAACTGTCCACACACATATATATATATACATATATGCACATATATATATATACACAATATGTATATATACACATATATATATATACTAATATATATTATATATACAGAAATATTACTTATACATACTACATTAATTATTCAATCAGCGACTAAGAATATCTACCCATCCAAGATGATAGAAGACACCCAGGTTTTACATCAAAGCGGCCCGGAAGAGTTTCCAAAAGGCGCGGGAACTGACAGATGACTCAGATGTTTTTCTGCTAGTTGAGTGGCCAGGAAAAGCAATGTGCATATGACCATGAAACATAGGGATACATCTATATTTTTATATAGGGAGAGAGAGAGATATATATATATATACACACGTAATTATATATCGGAATATATACATATATAGGGATATGTAGGGCTTAGGGAGATTTCATGAATTTTCCAAGGAAAAATAGGGGGATTTGATCAGAATCAAGTTCCAACTCACCGGTTGCAGCTTGAGCTGGCCAGGGCCTCAAACAGCAGCAGGGCATTGACAAATCGAATTCAGATCCCTTCATCAAGCAGCATGAAGGTCAGCTTCAGGTGCCATAGCTGCATTGGCTTTAGTTCGTCACTGACGAACTTGGGAACGCCATTTCTTTGTTTTGAGAAACGTTCTGGGATGCCATCAATTGCCATCAGTTTCATTCTTCATTTGGAGCCGCTGCGCCGCTTGAGCAAATCTCCACCACTGGGCTGCTGGGCTGCTGTCAGGTACTGGGCGCTTTGGATTTGGCGCCTGAGAATCCCGAGATTTGGCTTGAAGCCGCCAAGGCAGGATGCGAGGTGAGTTTTTTCACATTGGAAGGTTTAAACATGTTAAAACCTCAAAATCTGGGGGTTACTGAAACTGCGTTTCGAAGATATCTTGAAGCACTTGATCATCAATCTGAGTGGGTCGAGATTTCAGACCTAGAGACTAAGAGACCTAGAACATGTATTTGTAAATGTGGTCAGGGCACTTGCCATACCTTCTGAACCCATTGGATCATCCTCTGCATGAGGTCTCGCTGTCCCTGGCCTCGCTGGGCGAGAGCGAAGGAGCTCCGGATTGTCTCAAGATTACCCCCGAACATTTGGAGGGTCAAGGGGCCCCATGATGCCCTAAAAACATCTAAAATCATGATCAAACATTGGTCACTCACCCCAGCAGATAAGGTGCAGAACTCACCATGTGGGCTGAAAGCTACTGAGACGAAGGAGAGGTGCAACATGCGCTTGCCATGTTCGCCCGTGCGGCGAAGTTGGATGGGACAAAACTGCAAGCTGCGCTCGCATGGCTCGGAAGAAAGGAGTTGCTCAACTGCAAAAGATCACGCTTCTTCGAGACGCTGAAATTTCTGTTCATGTCAGGAGTTTTCTTTTCAAAGTCTTTCAACCCCCTGTCCTTAGACTGAACACCCGGAAGAAACCCAGGTTTGGTGGTGGATTTGTTCCTTTTTCCCCACATCTTTGTGTGAGGTTCTTGTTTTTGGTTCTGCATCCCGTCCGCCTCCTCCGCCTCCTCCTCCCGTCGCCTCCTCCCACCACTTCTCATCACACCACTTGTCTTCACACTACTTGTCCACACACAACTTGTCATCGCACACCACTTCTCATCACACCACTTCTCATCACACCACTTGTCATCACACCACTTGTCTTCACACTACTTGTCCACACACAACTTGTCATCACACACCACTTCTCATCACACCACTTGTCATCACACCACTTGCTCACACAGAACTTGCACACACACACAACTTGCTCACATACAACTTGCTCACACGCAATTGTCTTCACACTACTTGTCCACACACAACTTGTCATCACACACCACTTCTCATCACACCACTTGCTCACACACAACTTGATATCACACCACTTGCTCACTTGCACAGACACAACTTGCTCACATACAACTTGCTCACACACAACTTGTCCACACACCACTTCTCATCACACCACTTGCCATCACACCACTTGCTCACATACAACTTGCTCACACACAACTTGTCCACACACCACTTCTAATCACACCACTTGTCATCACACCACTTGCTCACACAGAACTTGCACACACACACACAACTTGCTCACATGCAACTACACACACAACTTACTCACACACAGTGGCAGGCGTGGCACTTGCGTGGCTGGCAGGCGTGGCACTTTGAGACATCCACCTTCGTTTCACGTGGCAGGCGTGGCACGTATGGCACTGGGCTGGCTCTGGTGGCGCGCTCGGTTCTCAGCAGTCGCCGTGGACGCCGCGGCTTTTTGCGTGGCAGGCGGCTTTTTGCGTGGCAGGCGTGGCACTTGGCGACATGTAGCTGCACTTTGCATGGCAGGCGTGGTACTTTGAGACATCCACCTTCGTTTCACGTGGCAGGCGTGGTTTTGCGTGGCAGGCGTGGCACTATGTGAGATACACCTTCACTTTGTGTGGCGTGGCGCTTGATGACATGGATTGTTACTTTGCGTGGCAGGCGCGGCACTTATGGCACTGGGTTGGCTCTGGTGGCGCGCTTGGTTCCCAGGCGGCGCTCTGACGCCGCGGCGTTTTGCGTGGCAGGCGTGGCACTTTGTGACATCCACCTTCACTTTGTGTGGCAGGCGTGGCACTTGATGACATGGATTGTTACTTTGCGTGGCAGGCGTGGCACTTGTGGCACTGGGTTGGCTGGCGGCGCTCTGACGCCGCGGCTTTTTGCGTGGCAGGCGTGGCACTTTGTGACATCCACCTTCACTTTGTGTGGCAGGCGTGGCACTTGATGACATGGATTGTTACTTTGCGTGGCAGGCGTGCCACTTATGGCACTGGGTTGGCTCTGGTGGCGCGCTTGGTTCCCAGATACGGCCGCTGACATGGGCGAAGCCCTGCCAGAGGGAGTCCAAGATACGCAGCCGGTGCGTGCCCAGCTCCGTGATCTCTTTCGCGCTGCGCAGTGGCTCTGTCGCTTCACCTTCCGGGAGAACGATTACCAGCAGACATTGGAGTTGGAATGTCGACACCTGACGCCTTGTCTGCGTGCCAGCCGAGCTGAAGCTGTCGTCGCACCTGAAGCCCTGAACAGGAAAGTGTCCCATTGCCAGATGAACAACGGTTGCCCAGTCGCGCCATTGGCCACGTTGCAGGTGGATGCCCAGCTTGGCTTGATTTCGGTGGATGACGTGGAAGCCAGCTTCGTCAGATGCTTGGTGGCCTTCAATGACGAGCAGCTCCCCGACGAGGAAGCTCTGCAGCAGGACAACACGTCCACCTCGGCAATGCGCGTCAAGCGCTCCGTGGACTGCCTACTGTCTGCCCCGGCTGCCACAGGCGGGCCAAGCCGGGTGAAGCTGCGTTGCGCTGGCCCTGCATTGGCGGTGGCATGGCTGCTGCGGGGCAACGTGGGCGAGGCGCATTTCGTGGTGCTTGCTCACACCTCAGATCCTGGCGAGTGGAGCGTGCTGTGGCACGTGCCGGTGGAAGCACATCGTGTGCAGGGAGTCAAGAACTTCATGCTGCGGATCTATGAATCTGAAGTCAAAAGCCCACAAACACTCACCTACGACCAGGCATGGACTCCAATGAAGCGTCTTGCAAGCGTCATGGAGACAGCGCCAGAGGACGCTTCGATGACTCAAAAACCAAAGTGGGCAGCTGCAATCACAAAACTAGTCCAGAAATTGGCAAAAAAAACAAAAACCAGTGAAAACCAAACATTTTCCCCTTCTCACTCATTCCCATTAGGGTCGCAACCACCAAACTAGCCCAGAAACGGGAAAAACACCTAAAACCATTGAAAGCATGTTCAACCAATGGGTTGCTGAGAAGGCAAAAAATTGAAGCTTCTTGGTCCTATCTGATTATGTTTAAAGCTGTGCCCCAACTCTGCAAGGAGGGGCACCTTTTTCGGCCGCTTGCCATTGCTTGCGTTTTGCAATGAAAAACCCTGGGGGCATCATTTTGTCAAATATTATTTCAAAATCCAATGTATCTCATTGAGTTCTTGAAATATTTTATTTTGTTGAAGTCAGGCATTGCCAGAATAATATGTTATTATTCTGAGGTATGTTGAGGGGGGTATACCTTTAAGGCACCCCTCATAGAAAACCGCTACAAAAGCGCGACCCGGCTTGAATCAAGGGTTACTGAAAAAACGAAGGGGTTCGAGAAGAAGCCCTTCCCGATCCTGTTAACCAGAAAAGACAAACTGCAACGGCCCCCTATTATTTGAACTGAAAACTAGCTTGGGGAAATATTAGTATTGAACGTGGAACCCCACAAATTCACTACACTACACAGTACCTTAAAGCAAATCTGAGTGAACTCAGATATCCGTTTTGGGCCGACGATTATCTCGCATACTTAACCACTACAAAGTACTGTGACCCAGCCCGCGTTTGAACCTGAAAACATATATGACCTAGGGTTACTACAAAATGCAAGGGCATATGGTCTTGAAATGGTTATAAAAACAACTGAGCTATTTTACAGAGGACCCAATTCCATTAGTTTTATAGTTGAAATTCTAACCAGGGTCCATTATTTTTATTTTTATTCAGGAGCGCGCTGCTTCCATCAACGCCGCGAAGCTCTACGTCTACGAGCTGGACGGAGATGAGAACACGGTCGTGCAGCCTTTCCTCCCACGCCCTCAAGACCTCCCCGGCTACGCCCCACCGGCCGGCCGCCCGGCGCAGCGCCGGCGCTTGGCTGCCGGTCCAGAGGTGACGCCTTTGCTGGAGGAGAAGAAGAAAGAAAGAAAGAGATAGAGAGAGAGAAAGAGAGAGAGAGAGAGAGAGCGAGAGAGAGAGAGAGAGAAGGAGAGCGAGAGGGAGAGGGAGAGGGAGTGAGAGTGGGAGAGGAAGAGAAACAAGCTGCCTTCAAAGCGCCCCCCAGGACCAGTGGATGGTCTGCAAACCACATGTCGTGGAAGGCAGTTCGGGCTTGCAGCGGGAACTGGGTACGACGGTGTAGCATTTCCTGGCTGACCAAGGCGGTCAAGCCGGGTGTGCTCCTGCGGCTGGGCGACCACGACGGTCCGCCTGGGTTGCAGGCCCTCCACGTGAAGGACTTTCGAGGGATACAGGGCCGACCCCCAGGAACAAATCTTCTATAAATTTGAGAGGGGTCAAAACATATTATCAAAGGAAGTTGGGAAGCAATCGTCCGAGTGACGGACAAATAGAATTGTGAGACTCTACATCACATGACAATAAATTGATGGAGGGCGGTGTGAGACTTCACATCACATAACAAACACAACAAAACAATAAAAGAAAAGGCTATGGGAAGTGGTGACGAAGGGAAGTGGTGATGAATGGATGCTGCAAAATGGATTGTGATGGCTGCATGAATGTTGCATGGGGCTTGTGTTGGGGAGGAAGCTGGAGGACGAAACCTTGTGTTTTTCCCTGGAAAGTGGCTCCGGCCGGCGATGAAAGGTACCTTGTGTGTGCGGCGGTTGCGGTTTCGATCGTTTCGAGGTCAATCGGTTCCGCTTCTGTGTTCTGCAACAAGTGGTTGTTCCTGCGTGCGTAATTCTCTGCGTTTCTTGAATCTGTGATTGCAGATCGCATTGGAATGGCTGTATGATTGTTGCCACCTGGTGTTGCAAGTTTGCTACGTGATGCTGCGAAACGCATTGTAATTAATGACTGCGTCAAGGCGGCTTGGCGCCGCGGCCGCATGCGTAATACTACTCTCTTTTGCAGCTGGACATCGTAAAATGGTTTTGGAGTGGCTGCACCAAGGCCTGCGACAGGGATTTGTCGGCGGATTTTCTCAATTTTGGAGTGGCTGCACCAAGGCAGAGTCTATGACTTGGAAGGCGATGACTGTATCATCTTGGCCCGGGTCAGACGTCTTCTCTGCGTGGCCTCCATGGACGACTGGTCCCTTCTTAAGGTTCTGGAGAATAATGCAGCAGTGTTGCAGCTGGAAGCGGTCGTGCCACAAGGAACCTCCTGGCGTGACTTTCATGCCTTCGTCGGCAGGTACCATAAGAGTCAGTTTGAAACTGCTGTGGGCGACCTCGGCATGCTGCGTGCCGCGTGGGAGTCTGCAGCGGAGGTGTCGTTGCCATATGCCGCTTGGCTGTGTATCGCAGAAGTGCAACTGGAGGAGACTTTCTGGATTGTGACCGTCCGCGGTTGTCCGTAGGTGTCCGTGATGTTCGATGTGGCTGTTACCGTGTCTTGGACTTGATCCGGATTCCGTGTGCAGTATGTACCGTTTATAGCCAAAGGAGCTAGCTTTAGCTTGCATGGATTGACGCGCCGTGCGAAGATCTAGCGCCTGAACGCGGCCATGTGAGAGACAGAAAAAAGATCACGTTCATGACAAATGAGAACAGTTTCTGTGCAATCGGTGCCACTATTCTTGTGTTGCTTGCTTTCAGTGGGAGCTACATTACTGCACTTGCCGCCGTCGCTTGGCAGGTCCACCACGCTGCGATGTCGTGATCTTTGCTAGCGCTGTTGCAGTTGACGGTGCTCATATGTCTGTTATCAATCTGTGCTTCTGAAACTAACAGTCTTCGTGACAGCCGGTGTTTTCTGTTGTTCTGCCAGGCACCGACTTCGTCGCGCAGATGCTGCTGTTCAATACATGCATACATACATACATACATGCATACATACATCCATCCATCCATCCATACATACATACATACATGCATACATACATACATACATGCATGCATACATGCATACGTACACAACTTACTCATACCGGTCTATACGTGGATGTTATTGCGAAAGAGCTGGCGCTGTCTGAGGCGACTTGATGTTATTGGATTAGTGTGTTCAGTGTTGTTTGTCTAGCTGGCCTTCTATTTGGATGCAAATCATTCACCTGGTTGCACACGCCAATCCTTCACCATCTCTTCTTTATTTCCTGCTTTCCCCATGCCATCTTTACCTTTCTTTTGCTGCTTGTTGGAAGAAGTTGACATGTGGGGTTATCCGGTCCTTTTGTTAGGCTCCCAATTCCCTTCAGGCTTCTCAGTGAAAGATCAGCTCAACATGGTTGAGGATGGTTGATGATGGTTGATGACTGAGTAACGGAGTAATAACAAACGACCAGTTTTGCGTGGCTGAAGCCATGGTACCGATTTGGTGCCGCCCAGGGCTGAAAAGGAGACGCGAGAAGAGAAGCAGCTCCGGAATCTCGGAATATTTGGGGTACGGGCCATAAGACTCGGGCTCCCAAAAATGGATGATATGGATGGTGAATACTAGAGAATACGAAACGAAATGCAAAATGAGTGGTCTCCTGGGTGTTCATTTTGAACCTATTATCCCATTTGACGACGGTTCAGTTAGAAAGATAGATAGACAGACACATAGCTAGCTAGATGTATAGATGGAAGGATGGATGGACGGACGGACGGATGGATGGATTGGTCCACTTGAAATTCCTTTTGGATTTTATCTTTGCCCCCCAAGCTGTGATTGTTGCAAAGTGTTGAAACCCTTCCAAAACCAGGCATTTATCATTGATGTCCACTCCGGATGATTTTTCACGGTGGGGTGTGCCAAAGGGGCTGTTTCATTGGGGGGTTACCATTTTAGTAGCAGATGAACTCACTATTTGGGGGGTTATGAGGATTACTGCCAATCGACCCAAGTGTCACTCACCTGTGCGACGCTGCTCCAGGAAACTGGTGCGGGGCCAGGTGAAGAAGTGGAATGAAAGTCAGGTGCCAGTGCCGGACTCAGGTGGGACTTCGAAATGGGACTTCGACAGCATCACAGTGGGGATGTTCTTTTTTGGAAAAAACATCAATTAAATGAGGATCTCCTAAGTGACCAATGGGGGCGTTTCTAAAACTGAAGCTAGCTGGAAAATCAGCCTCGTCACCATTGCTTTCCCCTTTCTAAACATTACCTATGACTTGGATGATAAATTCGAGTCCTCCACTTTGAGAAATTACCATTTTAAGGATCAGACACCACCTCTTTTGGGAGGTTGGCAATATACCCACTTGATGAATGTGTGCTGTGAAAGGAAGGTATGGCCCATTGTATGGCCCAAGATATACCAACATGAAACCGGACCAAGGATGAACCACTTATACATGCGCTCTGTACAACGCCCTCAACTGACGACTCGGTTGGACTAAGGACATCCCGATCACCTTTGTTTCAACATTGAAGGACGGTATTTGCTTTGGGAAGAGTTCGGGTGTGAAAAGCTCCTTTGCTGCGTTTAAATGCGGCTGGATCTGCTTTTCTCTGATCTTTGGGCAGAGGATCAGGATTCCATGGGTCAAAATGGAGTATCAAATCTATTAACAACAGTGCTCAAGTGGCCTCATTTGGCCATTTTCTTGACCCATACTCAGAGATGTTTTCTATGGTTTCGCAATCGCAGCACGCCGAGGGAAACAACCAGAGGAGGTGACAAAGATTGTGGATAGCTTGCAGGCCGCTGGGGATAACACGGCCCTGCCAAGTGTGACACCGACATGGGTGGCCAGTGACCAACGGAATAAACCCCCTCACGTGTCATGTGTAAAAACGCTGCCACTTGATGACACATGTGTAGATAGTTACAGCTACAGTTACATACTCACGGGTTTGTCTGAAAATCTTATATCCTCACAAATCCAATGGCTAATCATCAGTTTCCCTATTAGCATACACATTTTGGTTGTCCTGCCGCTTCACCAGGTGAGAAACGTCTTTCCGACAAAGGTGCTTTCGGTGTGCCTCGGATGCAGCATCCTGTTTTTGACAGATAAAATGGTCCATTTGTAGCAGTTGACATCTTCCAACTCTTGGGGGCACCACATGACTCCCGATCCAAACATGGAATTCCCTGCCAAAACATGACGAGTTTTTCGTGGTTTGTGGGGTCCCCACTGTCAAGAACCACCCAAGAAAGGTTTGTTTGAAACCAAACTTTTTTTGGCGGTTGACATTGTACTGGGTACGGGTACCTCCAAATCCCCATGGTTAGTTTCAGAGAAATCCATCCCTTCCAGTGGGTCCAGAGCCGAGGAACGTGCTCTCCCTGCTTCCCGAGGGCTTTACGAAACGCCTTGCTGATTTGGCGGTACAGAAGTATCAACAGCCCCTGGCGTTGACCGTTGGGGGAGTTGATTGAATCCCTATGATTACCCTGTGGGGTCTTGGTTCTGGTCCGGCTTGGTCCAGGTTGAACACTCTTTGTGATTTGCAGGCCATATACTGCACTAAATACATGACAGGCACATTTGTTCTTTAGACTTGATGGTAGGATAATCGTGGGTATGTCCTACAATTCGGGGACCAGCAAAATTCATCAAGTTGGTTTGTAGTAGTGGGCAATCATCGCTTGGACACACCCAACTGAGAGTGCTGCTGAGGTTCAGCAAAAAGTTTCCCGACATTGACCCCAACGACCTCAACGACAAGCTGCTTGGTCGGGGTTCTGGCTGTGATGCATCGGGGTCCTGTTCATAAACAGCTCATGGCTACAAAAATTGTTGTACAATGTTGGAAGCTGTTTGGAAGACACAACTGGTAAAGGATGTGAATTGAGCAGTGGCTACAAAACCCCTGTTGATTGATTAATTGGGGTTCTCCATCATGGAAATTCTTACGAACTCGCTATTTTCGGGTCAATTTCCCCTTCAAAAGACAATCCCCGTATATAACAATCACATGCCCTCCAGTAAACTAACATAGCTATGGAAAATGGCCCAATTTACTTATTAGAAATGGTGATTTCCATAGCAAGTTGTTAGTTTACCAGAGGGTAACTCATACATACAGATACATCTCATCATATCCCCATTAATCTTCAGTAAATCTCATTGCTCCCCAGTAAATCCCACTAATCCACTAAGTCCCATTAATTCCCTTTATACAAATCCCATAATCCCATTCACCCCCATTTTTCAATCCCATTAATCACCAGAAAATCCCAGTAACCCCCGCTAATAGAAATCCTATTAACATCCATTAACTCCTAGTAAATCCCATTAAATCCCATTAAATCCCCAGTAACTCCGAAATCTGTCAGTCTTGGCTCAGATTTTTTGGCTTCCAGTCAACCACGGCTGATCGCTTGGACGCGGGCGACATCCAAAAGTGGCCGGTCCTTTGGTCAAAACACGGTGGAAAACGGCGGAAAACGAAGGAAAACTGAGGAAAACTGAGGAAAAACAGAGGAAAACTGAAGAGTTTACCAGCAAAGAAAAGGGATTCAACGTTTGGCAAACATCGGATAGCTGCGGATTTCACACTTGGATTTCACATTGGGAAAGCTAACAACAACTGAGGAATCTCAAAACCAAAATGGGTTTAAGCACCATCTAGTGGGGGGTAATAATATATAGAGCATTATATAATATATAATATAATATAATATATAATATAATATATAATATAATATAATATATAATATAATATAATATGATATAATATAATATAATATCATATAATATAATATAATATAATATTTAATATATATAATTTAATATAATATAATATATAATGTAATATAATATAGTATATAAATTTATTTATATCCATATGACATCACCAATTCCCTCAAAAACATGTTCATCCTACCAATATCTTTGGGTTTACAACCATCAGGTCATCCAATTAGATGTAGGTTAGGTGGAGAACAGCATGGCCAGTTTTTCACGAAAGGCCCCAGCCATGCGTTGAAACTGAACTAAGGAAATGTACCGTGACTCAGAGGACTTCAAGATTCTGACAAGAGCAACTTGGCAAATCCAGAAGTTTCACAACGCTATAACCAGTGATGGCAGATCTGCATTGGAATTATGAATTATGTGGAAACTTGCGAGACACCACGCCATACACGTCAGCCACCTTCGGAATCCCTTCAAGGTGAAGGACTAGACTCACATCCTCCAATGGCCCCTCGTATCAATTGCCACATTAGATTCAACCATTGTGTGCCCGAGCAGACGTGTTGCTTTACGTGACTGCATTCGGGTTCGTGGGCTGCATCTTGTTTTATGAGACCTCAAGCTGGATGAAATAGTTTCTTCCTGTCCACACTTTGTGAAACAAATTATTTGAAAAGTCTTGTACTTTTTCCCCTGTTACCACACCAATGCACTGTAGACTGTGGAATGTGGAATGGGGTGGAATGCAAAGTCTGGAGTGTGAAGAAAGTGGGGCGTTGAGTGGGGAATGTAGTGTGTAGAGTGTGGAGTAGGGATTGTGAAGTGTGAAGCGCAAAGTGTAAGATGGAAAGTGTAAAGTGTCAAGTGTGGAGTGTGAAGTGTAGAGTGTCAAGTGTAGAGTGTACAGTGTAAAGTGTGGAGTGTAAAGTGTAGAGTTCAAAGTGTGGAGTGTAAAGTGCGGAGTGTGGAGTGTGGTGGAGTGTAAAGTGTAGAGTGTGGAGTGTTAAGTGTTGAGTTTGAAGTGGAGTGTGGAGTGTAAAGTGTAAAGTGTGGACTGTAGAGGGTGGAGTTTGGAGCGTGCATAGTAATGTGTAAAGTGTAGAGTACACAGTGTAGAGTGTAAAGTGTAGAGTGTAAAGTGTAGAGTGTGGAGTGTAAAGTGTAAAGTGTAAAGTGTAAAGTGTGGAGTGTAAAGTGTAGAGTGTAAAGTGTAAAGTGTAGAGTGTGGGGTGTGAAGTGTAGAGTGTAAAGTGCAAAGTGTGGAGTGTCAAGTGTAAACTGTGGGGTGGAAAGCCTAAAGCGTAGAGTGTGAACTGAAAAGTGTAAAGTTCAAAGTGTAGAGTGTGGAGTGTGAAGTGTAAAGTGTAAAGTGTGGAGTGTAGAGTGTACAGTGTAGAGTGTAAAGTATAGAGTGTATAGTGTATAGTGTATAGTGTAAAGTGTAAAGTGTGGAGTGTAGAGTGTGGAGTTTGGAGTGTGGAGAGTAACGTGTAAAGTGTAGAGTGCACAGTGTAGAGTGTAAAGTGTAGAGTGTAAAGTGTAGAGTGTGGAGTGTAAAGTGTAAAGTGTGGAGTGTAGAGTGTAAAGTGTGGAGTGTGGAGTGTGGAGAGTAGAGTGTAAAGTGTAAAGTGTGGAGTGTAAAGTGTAGAGTGTGGAGTGTAAAGTTTGAAGTGTGGAGTATAAAGTGGAGAGTGTAAAGTGTAGACTGTAGAGTGTGGAGTGTAGAGTGTAAAGTGTGGAGTGTAAAGTGTAGAGTGTAAAGTGTAGAGTGTAGAGTGTGGAGTGTAAAGTGTAAAGTGTAGAGTGTAAAGTGTGGAGTGTAACGTGTGGAGTGTGGAGTGTAAAGTGAAAAGTGTGGAGTGTGGAGTGTAAAGTGAAGAGTGTGGAGTGTAAAGTGAAGAGTGTGGAGTGTCAAGTGTAAAGTGTAAACAGTGGAGTGTAAAGTGTTGAGTCTAGAGTGTGGAGTGTAAAGTTTAAAGTGTGGAGTGTAAAGTGTGGAGTGTAGAGTGTAAAGTGTAGAGTGTAGAGTGTAAAGTGTGGAGTGTGGAGGGTAAAGGGTAGTGTAGAGTGTGGAGTGTACACTGTAAAGTGTGGAGTGTGGAGTGTAAAGTCTAAAGTGTAGAGTGTGGAGTGTAAAGTGTAAAGTGTGGAGTTGTGGGTGTGGAGTCTAAAGTCCAGAGTGTAAAGTGTAGAGTGTCAAGTGTAGAGTGTGGAGTGTAAAGTGTAGAATGTCAGAAATATTGCGCCTGCCATGCAAAAGAGCATTCCACACACGACAGATCTTCACCACATGCTGTGCCTGCCACGCAAAATGACGATGGAGGACTCCAAAGTGCTGCGCCTGCCACAAAACATGCGACTCATCTTCTGAAAACGATGCAAAAGTGCCACGCCTGCGTCGCAAAACGAAATTACAACCTGATTTGACACCTTCAAAAAGGATAGGTTTTGCAGCTTCCCCCATAGACACGGCGAACCCACAGGAAAACCAGCGACTCGAGACGAGACACGTGGGAGCAGCAAAACGAGCATTTCGTGCGAGGCTTCCTCCAATTTTGTGACTTTGTAGCCTCAAAATCGACGTTTTCCTACGAGTTTTCTTAGGAACCTCTAAATTTGCTACCTCAAAATCGATGTTTCGTGCGAGGCTTCCGTCAACTTTCAGCACATCTCACAAAATGCCACGCCTGCCACGGAATTTGCACCTTGTCGCCACTTGACGCAGCCCTGCCAATGCGATTCACAAAAACCACGCAACACGGCTCCTTTAAAGTGCTGCGCTGCCACGCAAAATGAAGATGGACACGTCCAAAGTGCTGCGCCTGCCACGAAAATTGCAACGCATTGCGCCTGCCACACAAAACCACTTTCGACAAGTTACGAAACACGTTTGAATGTCGCGCCATGCCTGTGACGCGAAACGAAGCAACGCGACGCTGGAAACCTCCAAAAGCGACCCCTGTTGCAGAACTTACCATAGGCATGGCCATACGGCCCTCACACGGACATTTGCGGATGCTTGCGAACGTTTGCGCGACGTCGAGCGAATACACCCTCAACCCCCAGACTGCCAGAGTGAAACGGGAACCCTTGCTACGCATTGGGGAAGAACTGGATGGTTACGTTTCTCAAAGTTCGAGTATCCCAGCCCACTCCAAAAGCATTGGTTTTTCCAGGTTTTCCATAGGTCCCCCATTTTCAGGACCCTCCTTCCTCGGCCCGTGTGCATCTCCATGAGGTCATGAAAGGTGCATTGGAAGGTTTTCTGGATCGCACTGGTGCACCGCTGCCCAGACAGGCGAAAACCGTGGGTTGGATGGTTGGATTTCCATGTTTTTGGGGGTATTCACAGCCAAAAGGCAAAAAATTAGGTGGTTTTATGATCAATTCTCAGGCTTGCCACATTATATACCCATTTTTTTGGATTACATTTCGGGAAGTTGAACCCTGTTGTTTGATGCTTGTATGAGCTGGATTCATCGGGAACTACATCAGAAAGGAACATGAATCTTCACTGTGGACTGAAGTGTAAGCAGTGTAAACGTGTAAACTTTGAACAGAACCTTGATCGTTAGAAATGAACTTCGCAAACCCTGCTGGCTGTTCCTCAGGCAGGTGACTATGGACTTGTGTTTCTATGGCTGCGGATTAGTGGCAAAGGAGACGGAACATTAACATGGTCCCATACTTCGAGCATTATGACGGCATCCTGAAGCCTTGTTCCACAGAGTCAACTTCCCTGAATCGGAGTTCTCGTGGAATGAGAATCCGTATGAAGTTTCTTAGACTATCAAGGGTTATAAAACCTAGATGAAGCCGAAGCCTTTCGGATGAAGATCCGTGGATTAACACCGGTTTTCTTTTTCATGTTTCCAAGAGAATGCGGGAGATCTACAGTTGACACCCACAAAAGGTTAAGAACACGGGTTTCTGATCTTGCCTTAAACGGTCCATTGACATGAACTATATACCCATAAACATGGTTTGCCCATTACATCCCCAATACATAATCATCCCAATTAATGCTACATACTATCAAATCCATTGGGATTCATTGGGATAGCGTTCCATATATTGGAACTACTTATTATGACATGATAATCCCAAGGCTAGTTACATCATTTGCTAATTAGATCCACATCCCCAATGCCTGGACCTTCAAAATGAACAGATCCAATTTCCATCACCTTTCAATTACCAGAGGTTAAACCAACTATTAAGCTGAATGGTTTTAGACCGTTAGACCCCATATCAATCAGTGTGAACTCCCCATTTTACATATTACTTGGTGGCTCATCCAGGTGGTTTATACAACATATTAAATAGACCTAGATATAACTGGATATTGCCCATGGATCCAGCTGCCTACCAAGTCTATGGGCTGCCGTGTATCCTGGCAACGGTGGACGACATGGGTAGCTTCTCTGCATGACGTGAACTTATGGGGACTTCTTCCCAACAAACATCTCAGTAGAGCTTATGGTATGGGTGTCCCAATGGGGGACCACCAAAGAATTGGTTTCCCTATTAGAAATCACAGGTTTTCGTTTGGCGAAGCCCGAGGTACCATGTTCACCAGGGTTCCGCCAGCAGCTGCGTGCTCTATGCGAGGGTAGCAGGTGTGGCCATGGCGTCTATAGCCACATTTGGGTTGTAACCCAGTGGGGTTAAAACATACACACACACATATATATATATATATCTATATACACACATATATAATTTAATGATTATATGCATATCATGCTGCCCAGCCACCTGTGTTCCCCCCAAGGTGTGGTGAAAGGAATTGGATCCACGCAACTTTTGATAAACTGCGCACTCCTTCCAGGGATGCAGAAGAAACTCGATCAGGAAAAAGTGCTTCTTTGAAGATCCAGGAATATGATGGAATATGAATATGTATATAAATAAATATATATATATAATATACATGTGTGTATGTGTCAGTCTCTGTGTATGTGAGTGTATATGGGTATGTATATCTACATGTCCACCAGGTGCCTCCACCCCCATCAGCTTCATTGACCCCCGTGGTGCGCCACCAGTGGAGGACACGAATTGGATGAAGGGAACATTTCAGGTTGAAATCACCAACCCATAGTTGGGATTTAATGGGATTGTATAGTATTTCACGGGATTTTGTAGGGATAATGGGACTTTATAAGGATTTAATGGTTTTTATAGGGCTTTAATGGGATTTTATACGGATTTAATTGGTTTTTATAGGGATTTAATGGGAGTTTACATAGGGATTTAATGGACACTTCATAGGGATTTTATGAGGATTTAATGGGATTCGATGAGAGTTTAATGGTATTTAATGGGTACATAGGAGGGATATAAGAAACCAACTATATAGTAGTTACGCTTTGGTGTAGAAGAGACAGTATAGGTAATTAGTGAGAATCCGCAATATATGGTACATGTATATATATATAGAATGGGCATATAGTAGGGATATAATGGGATAATGATATGTACTCACCAACAATCTAGTATAGTATATATATACATATTTTGATTTACCTTCTGGCAATAACAAACAGTTTGCGACATGGACACTCTCACCATGTTGTTTTCACAAGGGTCAATTTGAGACCTAAATGGACCATGGCTTCCACAGCAAAGTGTCCTTTAGGACCAGAGACTACAGAAAACTACCAATATTTGATGGTCAAAACTGCAGCTGATTCAAGATCAGTCCATCGGGATTCGAAGCTAGCCGCTGTTCGAATCGTCGCTGGAAGGTTGTGCATTTCTTTTTTTGTGGATATATCTGACAATTTTGTAGCAGTTTCAAAAAGATATCATACTTGTTTCCACATGGAAATGGACATATTTTGGGGTTAAGTCTCCCATTCTTGGAACATTGTTGTGCTGCTGACAGCAAGGACTACGAGCAGTACGAGAAGGAGCCTGTGCCTGTTGGTCATTTTTTTAAGCGCGCCAAACTTTATCTCAGGTTCAAAAGGATGATAAATCGTTCAAATCAGATGGCTGATCAGAATGGTATGGTTGATGCTTTAACATGATAAACCATCGAAAATTATCCCAACATGAGGTATTCATAGGTATCCCCAAATATTGGATGGTTCATATCATTCCAACCACATCCTGACATGAAACCTGTGGTCGAGGAAAGGGACTTCGAGCCTAAAGCGCCTTTTCACCACAACGACGCTGGGCCCGGCACGTCATCCCCTGTGGAAATCTATCTGGTGGTTAGGAGCCATGGAGCTTTGGGTATTCATATTCCCTGTTTTTTTTAATGAGAAGCTAAGGAGCTACGAAGAGTTTCCTAACCACATGATAGAAAGTGGTTGAGGAATCCATACTGGTGGCATTACGGCGGCATTTTTTCATGGCTAGTTGAGAACACAAAGACATATGCAGGCTGCATCAGGCAATCAGATAACTTGGGCCTTTCTGCCAAGGAGTACTTTTTTCCTCGTGAAGGAGATCTGGTCTGTTTCCCCTCGTGGTTGCTTGGCACATTTTTCAGGATCCTGCCTGCTTTGTTCTGATCATAGGCGCCTCGTCACCAGATATTGTTAATAATTTTTAATGGTCGTTGAACTGCCCAAGGTTTCTAGAAGGATATATAACCCATTGTGGCAGTAGATACTATATATATAAGTATATATATATATAAGTATATATAAGTATATATATATATAAGTATATATATATAAGTATATATATATATAAGTATATATATATATAAGTATATATATATATACACATACATGATAAAACCCTTGATATCTTTGCTTGTCCATGGTGATCCTCATATAATTTCCCGGCTTTCCAACCCCTCAGCAGCCGGCCGCAGCTGCCCGGCCAGCTGCGGCCGGCTTCCAGGTTGGTGCACAACGTGCCTTCCCACTGGGAATCTGAAACCCGCGTGGCCTTTGCGGCGAATCTGCAAGGTGGATCCAAGCTTTGAGGGGATCGATCACAAAAAACAAACATTTTGTGAGGAGCAAAACATAGCAAAACGATGATTCGGTGGATTTTGATTTTTCACCGGCACCGCCATTTTTGGAGAAACCCAAACAAACCACACACTGGACTGAGCCCAGTGCAAGGGTTGAACTGCACAGGAACTGCGCGCTGCATTGACAAGTTGTTTTTTTTAACCGTAAGATGGGGCAGGATTCTATCCATGTTTTCCAGAAAAACCGAAGCCACCCAAGTTTTTTCGATGCTTCTCCCCCAAAAATCGCCCAGCATTTGCAATTTTGATGATGATTTGGCCCCCCAAAACAGGCCAGGGCGCTTGGGACAGCTGGTTCCACACCTCCACTGCCTGGACCTAGGCGCCGGTGCCTTGGGGCCAAAATCTAGGAATCCTCAAGGTTTCAAGCATGAAACTTAGGGGTTATCATCCAATTTGTAGGGGCTTTATAGGGATTTTAGATGATTTTAGTCATCACTCAGTTTGTTGAATCCGTGTGTTGAAGCAGACATTTGTGGATGATGATGATGATGATGATGACGATGATGATGATGATGTAACCCCTAAGGAAGTGGTCGTACCAGGTCGTATCACTGTTTGGACACTTCGCGGCTGTGGAGTATTTTTTTTTGCCTTGGGTTCAGTTTACAGAGTTTGAGCTGCGGGTCGTAGTGTTGCATGACATGGACACCTTGGTCAAATGTACTGCCTGTTGTGTATTTCACACATCCACATCTAATCCTTACATATCTGTACCCCCCAAACAATTCCAAATTCCCTTCTAGAAACGGTTCATCCTCTGCATCATGCAGATGGCAGGCTATTCCCCGGCAGGTCCTGTCGCGTCCTTCCAGAAAAATGGCCGATTGGGTTTACTGGGTACTATCATGATGGGAAATGATGGCAATTTTCATGGGAATGTGAGTATTACCGTCAATGTCTGGTCTGAGCATGGCAAAGCATACTGCTCAGGAACTGGCAACTAGTTCCTGCTGTATCGGCTAAAAGGGATCAGGGGTGGTGGGGTGTTACTGTTTGCGACAACATGTCATTTTGTCAGACCTTGACGCAAAAGAAAGACTTAAAGAGCTTTACTGACATCAACTGACCAAATGGACCTGCTACGCCCATTTTGCTCAACTCAGCTGCTTTGGTATGGTGACATGACCTCTTCTGCATTGCTTGAAATTCCCACCACAGCTGCCACAGCTTCCCCAAAAACGAACGGCCTTGCGACCTCTTGGGATTGCTCAGCTCTGTGAGCCACGCCTGCAGAAATGCCACAGCTGTTTGTAAACCGCTGAACCAGCACAGCTGATCTGAGATCGAAAGTCGCCATGGCTGCAACGGGGAACACTTTGGCGCCCCTCCTGCCGAGGCGTGGGTACAGGAGAAGTGAGGGAAAGCTTGAAAGCCTCAACATCCAAACCTTGGGAGTGGTTTCATTTTGTTTTTCAACCACTTTTCCACTTCCAAGTCAGCCTTTTCGGGCATGGCTCGCAAGGGGAATTTGGGGAGACGTGGGTTGCGTTGCACTTCGTTGCCAGTTCTGGGACCTTGGAGAAAGCCCGCAGCACTCCTGTGGCTGTGATCCATGAGGACGACCTGGTTTCATCATGTTTCATCCAGAAAAGGCAGGAAAGATATGGAGGTTTCCTAAACATGGGGTACCCTCAAATCATCCATTTAATATATATAGGATTTTCCATTATAAACCATCCATTTTGGGGTAACCCCATTTTTGGAAACCTCCATATGGAAAGACTATGGACAATAACTGATGAGCATGTCGGAAAATTACGGTTTTCGCAATTTGCATGCGTGTTGATCATGTTGCGGCAGGCAGCTGCAGGGTATCAGTTTCTAAAACAACTTACGTAGAGATGAAGAGACTTGGGATATTTTTCTGTGCTTTTCAGGAGCCTACAAAGCAACCTCTTGTGCGAGCTCGAACTCTTTCGGTTGTGTCCACAGCAACTCTTCGGCATTGGATGTCTATGTGGGTCACCTCAGGGAAGGATGTCTTTGTTTTTGCTCAGCACCTGCTTCTTGTTGGTTGCTTCAAATTCCCAAAGTTAGGATTGTCGGTCTCAGAGTTGGGACTTGCCGGACTGACTTGCTTTCAAGATTTCGAGCCAACACGCAACCAAGAAGACACTCTGGAAAGACACTTCAATCTTCGAGGCAGACTTTGGTTTTCTTAGAATCTATTTGGAGATATTTGGAGCACAACCAAGGACAGCTCGGCATCAGTGTCTTGCTATTAAAAATGGCATGGGTCGGAAGAGGACAGAACGCTGGTTATAATATGTTATAATATAAGGAAAGCGGAAGGTGTGGCAAGGGAATATGGGACGGATTGACATCTGAAGACCTGGGACACACACACACACATGCACTGGTCGTTTTCTTGATTTGTAGTCATACTATTTTGGGGATTTTGAATTGTGACCCATCGCAATATTGTGCACATGAGCTTGCTAGTTTACTGTCTCATGAAGGAAACAGCGGGAAAGCAGCTCGCCGAGAGCCTTGTTCACTCCAATGGACACCCCCAAAAAAGCTATTTCGGATAATCCTTTGCCGCCCAAAAAATGTGGCACATTTCATGGTGTGTATTCAGTCGGGATTTGATTTCGAACCCATGACCCAGGTCACGGCCATGTCTCCGAACTCAACACCTTTTCAATCGCCGGTTTCCGAGTCTCGGCTGAGAATGGGGTCATCCAGGGATCATCCCAATATTTCATGGGATTTCATGGGGATTCAATGGGGACTTAATGGGTAGTCATGGAGATTAATGAGTATTTGATATAAGTAATACTCCCTTCTCACAAGTTGGGCCGCAGAATTCCTGTCAAATCCTAGGCAAACTTTGTAACATGACTCTGAAGACCACATTTATATTTGGTAGAGGCCCATCGTAGTCCCAAGTATTGCAGCCGCTTTAGCCGGTCACCCAGCTTGCTGCCAAGGAAAGTGCTGGCTTCTGCACACCCCAATCTCCTGCTGCCAGTGCCTGAATTGTTGCAAGAAAGACACCACCAATGTCGAGCCTCTACGGAGCTTTTGAGGCCGTCTTTTCCATCATGTATCATATGACAATATATGACACGTACCTACTGTATAGTCATCTTCCAAAAGAAAAACAATGAATTATCACAATTTCAATAGGGATTTACTTTTCTATCTTTTTGATTCTCTTTGGAGATAAAACATATGTATATTTATACCGAATACGGACATGAGCAAAGATGTTGGCCGAATGTCGAGGCCTCGCCCTTTTCGGATGCCTTTCCTCCGGGCTTCACTCCTGGTTCTCAGCTTAGAAGTGCCACCAGTGAAGCCACTGAATGCCAAGTTTTGGGGTGAAAGAAATCTGAAGAAACCCATCACCCCACATAATCAAACATGCACATCAGTAATGATTTTTTCCCCTTCCTATGTCTCGCAGTGTCGTTCCTTGGTGTTTTGGGTTGGTGCTTTGTTGGTTTGATTTGGACGGAGTCAGAAAGACAGACAGGAATAGACAGACTGATAGATAGAAACAGAGGCAAGAATAGAGACACATAGAAGAAAGTAAAGACGGGGTGCTGCATGACACATACTTACCCCTGAACTTGGGCTTGGTGAATCTTAAGGCTGTTTTTGATTACATTAATTATGTATTATCATGTATTATCCACGTTTATCATATTTTTTTAAAGAGAACACCGCATAGAAAAACACGATTTTTCCACTGAACAAGTGCCTGAATCTCAGTTGCTTGTCCCCATTATCTCCTAATTCAATCCCAAGTGCATCCCAATGCTAGCCCATATAATATAATCCCGATCCCATCATTATCAGAAAAACAAACCCATCAACTGCTTGATTTCTATATCTTCATAATATTGTATATACATATATATATATATATATCCCATTTAAGTATCATTTCAGTATCTCCCATAAATTGAAACCCATGCTATGCCACGATCTCCGCAAGCTGCGCAGGCGAACTGCTGCTGGGCCCCCTGCCTCGCAGCTCCTCGCTGATCTCGAACGGCTCCACGCTCTCGCTGCAACGCACCAGCTCGGTGCAAGCGAACGGCCGTCCCTATCCGCCGGGCCTGGGATGGACGCCGCAGGTCACACCACATGATGAAGGCACGGAAACTTGAAATTGAGGGGAAAACAACATGTGAAAAAAGGATGTTAATAGGATGTGAAGTGAAATATTCTGGGTTCGGTTGAATTTTGGCGACCTCTGGAAGACTTTGAGGATTTGAACCAATTTTTGGGAAGTTGATGGTTTTCGATGGCTCATGTAGAGAAACAACCACATGATGGGAGCGTTTTGGATGGGAACTGACTGAGAATGGGCTTCAAACGGAATCGGCCCTTCTGACAAACAATCCTACCACAATTTCCAGAAACTTCCCCCCAAAAAAACACTACCCAATTTTAAGAAGGAAAACGATGGTCAACTAGTGAACGATTTCATGTTTTTGCCCCCCAATTTTGAGCTGCTAGGTCTGCAGCGGAAGCTCTCCTTTGGTTTCTCTCTGGAGGAGCCGAAATTGAGGCCGGGCAGTCAAGGGAGAGTTTGGTAGGGATGACACCAGCAGAAATGGGGGGAACGGCGGATACCTCTATGATCGTTTATGGTTCCATGATACAGCTGCCGATGATATAGATGATATAGCCAGGAGCACTGGAGCACCTTTCTGCATGGATTTGTGTCGATGGTGATAAGCCATGGAACATGCGGGATCCGTTCTGCAGGCGAACGACCACAGATCTGGATGCAGTGTTGGAAGCTCAAATGCAGGCCTGGCGATGGCTGTCCCATTGAGGTCATGCTCACGGGACTTTTTTACACGATCCCGTGATCAATGCAGTTCTGACCTTCCCTTATCAGCATCCGGAAATGATTTTCGAAGCATCGATCCCGTCAGGATCCGGAAAGCAGCTGCAAGATGCGAAACATGCACCATGGATGTGGGATTGCTAACAGCATGCCAGGTGGATCCAGATGGCACATGTATGAAACGGGCCAAGACATCAAACAGGTTCGGTATCATCAAGAACTTGGAGTTCCATTTCTTGACAGGATCACTACTTCAGCCGAGAATTGCTTCTCTTCTATGCTGGTGCCGTGAGTGACCCTCAAGAATCTTCCCCGGCAGAAGCTGGTTTCCTGTGGCCGAAACCTGGTTTTTTCCGCCCCTTGGCCTGGCTGGGTTGGCAGCACGATGTCACGATAGCAATGGAATTCACCGATGGATCAGGATAGCAATCAATAGTTGATTCACAGTGGATTCACGTCTTTTTGTCGCACGATTACCAGGAAAGTATATATATATATTATATTATATTATATATATTATATATATATTATATATTATATATATATTATATATTATATATATTATATATGTATATATATTATATATATTATATATTATATATATATTATATTATATTATATTATATATATTATATATATATTATATATATAATGTATAATATATATATATATATATTATATATAATATATATATATATATTATATATAATATATACATATATATATACATATATAATATATATAATATAATATATATATATATATTTATACCTGTATGAATTTCCTCTAGGGTTGACCCCGCGGAAGAGGTTGGATTTTATACACTTTTGAACACCTGAAATTGTTTGAATGATGCGAAATCCAAGTCTCCTCCATTTTCTAGAGAACAACTTTTGGAGACCTCTGAGTCGGAAGATGCGGATTTTCTGGATGGTTTAGGTGCCCAAAATTCCAAAGCATCATTTTAGCATCTCTGGGAGTATCTTCTCGATTCTTTAGCAGTCCCCGATTTTCTAGAGAGGCACTGGTAGGTCCTGGGCAACTATTAAAAGCTCGATCGACAAATTCGAAACCGCGCACTGGGTTGGATGTCGAGCACTAGAAAATGGTTACCAATAACTTGAAGTGGCTTACAAAAAAATGGAAATCACATTTTTAAGAATGTCCAATTCAAGTACGGAGGTCATTTTCTTAGAAAAAATGCTAAAAGTGGCTTCCAAAATGCAGTCTGATATATAGGTGGCCAATATTCTAGGATACCTTAAATTAGTTTGATGTTCGTTGCTAATCTTCTTGGGTCCCTAATTTATACCACATGCATTTTCTACTAGAAAATCATGTGTGCCAACCTGACCGGGTTAACTTGTACCGGTATAGTTATTTAATTATATATTAACAATGATAGGGGTAAGCAAGAATGCTCTGGGACAATGGTAGAAGGATTGGACATGATTGAATCCACATTAACATCCATGAACATCCATGAACATCCATTAGCATCCATTAGCATCCATTAGCATCCATTAGCATCCATTAGCATCCATTAGCATCCATTAGCATCCATTAACATCCATTAACTAACATCCATTAACATCCATTAACATCCATTAACATCCATGACTCTATCTATCTATCTATCTATCCATCCATCGATCGATCTATCTATCTATCCATCCATCGATCTATCTATCTACTGTATCTATCCATCCATCCATCCATCGATCTATCTATCTATCTATCTATCCATCCACCTATCTATCTGTCTGTCTGTCTATCTATCTACCTATCTATCTATCTATCTATCTATCTATCTATCTATCTATCTATAGATATATATCAACTATAGAGGGATATATCTACCCATAAGAAACGTCCATTTGAAGCCACCGAATTCACCGTCAACGAGGAATGCAACCAATCGATGCCTCCGAGAAGGCCACAGCGGAAACCCAAAAAAAGGTGCCACAGGAGCCAGCGGGTTATAGTGATACATAGGGTATACACATATATATATAAATATGTATACATCATACGTATATGTATAGATATAGATATAGACTGTATGAAAATATAATGTATATATATATAGTTTCTAATATATATATATATACAGAAACACACATACATATGATTGACAGTCTATGCACATATTCTCAGCCGTGTCTCCAAACGGTGATCAGGAGCCCAAGCCGAAGACGAAGCCCGAGCCCAAAGTACCACCGCCACCGCCGAAGGCGACTGGATGTGGGATTTATAAACCAACTTTTAACTGGATAGTTTTTTTTTAATAACTGGAGGAACCATTTTTTCCCGCTTCTTTATGTTCTCCGAGTGATTGCGGTATTTTGTGAAATCCTTTAGATTTCAGAGCCAACCTGAAATCAGGAGTGATCAAATTAGCCGCACACGCAGGCTAACAATCCCAAAGAAGGCGCGAGGGTGGAGACTCCTTCCTTGCTCCTGGAACTCTTTCGTTTGTCCATGTTCAATGTTCTTCAATAGAATTGAATGAGGAATTTGCATGAAATATGCTGTAGGAGAAGGAGAACTGAGCCATGCAGGCAACATGCATGTGAACATCCTTTCTCTGAAAACTAATGAGAAGTACGCTGAGTCATCAGTAATATGCTAGGGCTTGTGGCCCCCGCCCACGATCTTTGCTGCAACAATCTTTAACGCCTTGCTGCTTCGTATCAGGAAAAGCTGTGCACACCGGCAAGGCGTGATTGTCATGGCATCGGTAGGCTAAAAGTGTGATCACTGCCAGTGTTTCTCGGTGTTCACTGCCTGATAGAGCAAACGGTTTTTGATTCGAGAAGCCGACTGTCCACCTTCCAAAAAACATTGACTTGCCGGCCTCCCAGTTCTAGTTGAAGATTCTGTAGTCATGGGATGTGGTGGGGGGTTGCCAAATTTATGTTTCAATCATCTTGTAAAATCTCCTACAAAATTCAAAATGATTGATTCCAAAAAAACTGGCAAAATATGTCAAACTGTCAAACTCATAAAAAACTTCGGATGTGGACCATACCTAGGAATCTGCACCAAAAATCACCAGGTAGTTTCACTCTGCGATCCCCCTCCATGCTGGCAGGGCTCCTCTCAGGGCGCAAATGGCACCGGCTGGAAAGGCTATGGCAAGGGCCAAGGCACTTCTGCAACGATGGCTATTGGATGAACACATAAAGCCGAGAAAACCAGAGATTTTGATAAATTTTGGTCATTTTGAATACCGAGAATTCAACTTTAGGACAATTTTGACCACCGCATGTATCAAGGCGAGTTTGACTCCGCACGTAACCAAAAACACCAGAAACTGCATTCGTTCAGGCTGGCATGGATGGCAAGGATGGCCCAAGGGATGGTCAAAGGGTTGGGAGACCTGGGGCTGGTGACGCTTTAAAGCGTCGCAGCCGCCCGGTACCTGGTCCTGGGCCAATATTTTAAGCCGCTACACGGGTTGGAATGGCGATGAGTGGGTGATCGGAGTTCTCTGGAGTTCTTTGGATCCACTGATCGCACCGAAACTGGGGGATTTGTACAGAATTCTTGAGGCTTCTGCACAGGTCGTCAGATCATATCATCACACAGAAGTTTCGAACACTCTTGGGTCGACTGATGGATGCCTTCATCTCCCAGTTCGGTCTTGGTCATAGACCGCCCCGAGGGCAGGAGAAATAGGGGCGGACAATGGCAGACGGGTCAAGATGCAGCCAAATCCCAAATTTTGGCATAGACTACGGCCCTAGTGCTGCATAAAAGTCTGAAGGGGCGAGATGGCACTGTTGCAACATAAGACCTTACAATCTACATGACAATTCTTGAAGAATTTAGTCGCTCCAATTGGTGAAATGGAGCAGAGGCCCCCAAATTCTTCCACAACGCTTTCTTAATTTTTCTTATACATGCGCTGTATTCTGTTCATTTTGGGTCTGGGGTGTACCCCAATCAACTCCTAGGCAAACCTTTTTTTGCCATCTAACTTCATTAAAAAGTTACAGAATCTTGTTATATTCTGAGGATTTCATCCTATCATAGCCATCCTCGGACGCTCTCCGCTCCTTGGCTCAACAGTCGTCGCGTCGCGCGTTGCCGTGGCCGAGCCGGCGCCAGGGCGGTATGGCACATAAGGCGCGGGGCTCGGGGAAGCGAGTTGCTATGGATCAAGGGAGTGGTTGAAATTGGGATCAAGTTACCTATGAAACACCGGATTTTTGGTGGATGAACATCCACAAATAGCAGCTATTTTGATGTAAAAACCCGGGATACCAGGGTTTTGATGACTCATATCCGAAGATGGGCTTGTCTAAAAAAATGTGGGTATACCGCAAAAATGGCTTTGATGGTACCACCTATTTTCACCAGGGGAGGCTCCCCTTGTTTTGGACCCAAACTCATGGGTCCACATGTGTTTGTCTCAACACGGGGGATTTTTCACAAGAACAATGGATCAATATGGCTGGTTGGTGGTTTGGAACATTTTTTATTTTTCCACATATGGGTTGGTCTGAAAATAGTGTATATTCCCAATGAAATAGCCATTTTTCATAGGGATAATGATCAGCAAAACCATTGGGTGTAGGGGTACACTATTTTCAGACACACCCATATATGGGAATAATCATCCCAACTGACTTTCATATTTTTCAGAGGGGTTGAAACCACCAATTGGATGGGTATTTCACCATGTTTCACCCGTAAAATCAGTGGGACAAACCTTCGAACCGAATTCGGATGCTCGTCGGCCCACTTGGACATTTTTCATGTTTGACTCTTTGACCATCCAGTTTGAGGGGTTGAATTTGGAGCGGAACCACAATTAAAGGACACCTTGTTTTCTTACAATCATATTGATTTCCTACGTTTCACGCATCTTTTCCTTTCCTCAACGATTTTTCATTTTTTGCGAACCGAGATTTGCTGAGCGTCCTGTAGTACACCTGATCAGGCATTACCTTGCGATGAGTTCCCTAGTTTCCTCTCATGGGGTCATGTTTTGGATACTTAGCTCCACGCTGCTGGTAGGTCATCTACCAATCAACTGGCGACTCGGCAGCATGATGCACGACCCTTTGCCGTAGTGCAATGTGACAAGTGTATTTTTCAGATGATTGCCTACAGTCCCAGAAAGGGTTTAAGTTTAAGTTTAAGGAAACAATTATAGGAACATATAGGAACTATGAGCTATCCTGGATATCCTCCAATCAATAGTAGCCTCTGGTCATCAAGCATGGCTGGGAAATCCTCCACTGAGTTTGATTCGCTATTCCCACGAAAGCCTCCATTTTTTTCTGGGAATTTCCAAGCCATGTTTGAGTACCGAAGGGTAACCCCAACCATACCTATGTTATTTAATGTTATTTATACTGGAGGCTATTTTTTTTCCATTCATATTCTCATCATATTCTCATTGAAATTGTTGATAAGCAGCTATTGTTGATGACGATCCCGCGATTTTGGATCATCCAGCCGATCGCCGATCACAGCAATCGCCGCGAAAATTCGGAGGCTGTTTGCCTGGCAGCACAGCTGTGAAGAGTGTCCCAACGAATGACTTGGTACCTTGGCGATGGCCGGAGCCAGGAATGGTTCATGTTAATATGATCAAGTCTATAGTGAAACCCTACGTTAATATCATTGTAATTATAATTTTGTAATATCATGAACATATCCATAGTTATATAAAATAGTTCCAGTCCATCCCTGGCTATTGTGATGATATTAACATATCTGAAAATTCTTCATATCATTGATACCCATTTTTGAAATGGGGAGACCCGGATGGCACCATGGGCAGTTGAAGCGACGGGCGCCAAAGGGGCTCGTTGTTTGCACCGTTGTTCCCCTTACTTCCCCATTTGTCTGTTCTTTCCTCCTGACATGTTTAAGCGATTTCAAGATTTTTAAGTGTATATAGAAATGAAATATCTAACACGTAAGTGAATGAACACACACACATATATATATATATAATATATATATACATGCATGTATCCATGAGAAATCACAGAAACGTGGCCATGATTCCATTTGTGCAGGTCCGGCTCACCTATCGCACGGCCTACTCCACAGGCAGGCTTTACATCATCACTGCACACTTTGGACATGGAAACTTGGGTCCGAGGGGGCAACGCGTGACCATCAAACATGGTTGTTTCAACAAAATTGCCTAGCATAGTTACAATAATTTAGTCATTGATTGATATTGAGATGGTTGAATTTTTCAAGCGTTGTGAGGACTTTTGAGGCCAGCTATCAACGCGATATCGGATACATATATATATATGTATATATATAGTAAGCTCAGGTTTGAGACTCACCAGGAGCAGATCAGTTCGCTAGCCATTGGGCCAGGAGTGGCAGGTCGCATTCCGGCCTATGAAGATCGGGGTGAGAACTTCGCAGGCATTCACAACATTGGCCGCAAGGAGACGAACATGTGGGGATGGGTCATGAATTTCCATTACAGATAGATTGATGATTGGATTCGATTCGATTAGACTAGACTAGATTAGATAGACAGAGAGACAGACAGATAGATAGGCAGACAGACAGACAGACAGACAGACAGAGAGACAGACAGGCAGACAGAGAGAGAGAGAGAGAGAGAGAGATGGATGGATGGATGGATGGATGTACGGACGGACGGACGGATGGATGGATCGATAGATAGATAGATAGATAGATAGTTAGATTAGATTAGATTAGATTAGATTAGATCACTGTAGATTAGATTAGATAGATAGATAGAGAGATAGAGAGATAGAGATAGAGATAGAGAGAGAGAGAGAGAAGAAAAAAGGAGAGAGAGAGAGATAGAGAGATAGAGATAGAGATAGAAAGAGAGAGATAGAGAGAGATAGAAAGAGACAGAGAAAGTTAGAGAGAGAGAGATAGAGAGTTAGAGAGAGAGAGATAGATTATATAGATTAGATTAGACCAGATTAGATTGGGTTAGATTAGATTATAATTATTAAAAATATATATATTTCATTAGAATACTTAAGATTAGATTAGATAGATAGATATACCACCTGAATTTTGATGTGGGAACCGCAGGGTATTGGAAGAATCTTGCGAGAGGTGTCGGGAAAATGACAAAAACGCCAGACGCTTCCCAGACGAATCTCAGGCGTGAGTCGCTCTCATTTGATGTTGTAGGGGAGCTTTGCCGCACATGTTTTTCTAGGAGTCCCAGTACATGAAGTTCCAGAAAAGCAAAGAATCTTGGCCATGAATCTCCAGGGTTATTGCATTTCTGACGTTCATGGATGATTTGCTTCGTTTCCAGACTATCCTTTGTATCATTGGCCTCAGATGGAGACTGTAGAGAAAACCTGATCTTTAACCTCTTGCTGGTGAAGCTGAAACTGTTGAGTTTGATCAAAAATTGGGCATAACTCTGGCCCGACTTAGTGGATGGTGCTGCAGATGATGGATCCCGAGGTTCAACAACACTATCTACAACCTCAAAAAACACATTGAAGAAGAGTAGTGCTTTTATAACATATGGATGTAGGTTATAAACATACTTTTAGCCCTAGTTCTGGGATGAACATCCATAACAGCAAGGTACTGAACACCAGGGTACTGATCGAGTCCTGACCCTGGCTTTGTCGGAAAATAGGGTGCCGCATACTCTGATTCAGAAAATCATGTTCCCTATGAAAAACCAACTTTTTTTAATCCAATTGATAGATGTGTCCATTTTCAGACAACATCTATGGAGGTTTCCAATCCATGGGGATACCCCAGTGATCATCCATTTTTTTTCCAGCAAATAGACATAAATAGACCATCCAGCTAGTGGAGTACCTCCATTATATATATATGTACACATACACATTATATATCCCATGATATCCCTGTGATATCCCACTGATGGTCTCAGGCACCCTTACTGGACTGGAGTGCCGTCAGCAGTCGAAGGGAATATACTCCGCATCCCTTAGGCGATAACAAGGCGGGATCAACCATTGGATTCCAGGGTTTTGTTGAGTGAAATGCGATCATTTTCCCATCGCTTTGTACCATCATTTTTTTTGGGTACCCTCTGGTAAACGTTTACATAACTATGGAAAATCACCATTTTCAATGGGAAAATCCACTATAAATGGCCATTTTCAATAGCTATGTTAGTTACCAGAGGGTATCATTTTTGACGCCCGGCCGCACCAGGTGAACGCCATGCTGGCAGCGAGTTTCAAAGCAGGCTGGAAAGGTGGAGCTGCGACCAATGCAGCGGAGATGCAGGACCAGACCTCCTACAAGGACTGACGGAGATTGGGCCGTGGTGCGAGATATGAACATCCAAGGTGCCCTTGGTGTACGTGCAGACATGTGTACAGTATGCATACTAGATATGTATATACACATATATATATATATAATATTATATATAGGTGGTACAACTTAGATATCATTTTCACATGCAGATGTGAAAGTAGATATCTCTTTTGACACTTAGACACCTGCAGGAATTGGATCATTGATTGTTAAAGAAATGAACCGAGCAAATCACCACCATTCCAGGACGCCTTCACAGGTGCCTGAGCTGCAATGGGAGTGAAAGTCGAATTTTTCATTCCCCCAACGTTTACAAAGACCCTAAGACCAGCATTTTTTTAAAGATAGGAAAGCAACCGTCCAGGTCTATGTTAGTTGGATGGTCATTTAGATCTGTTGATGGTGACTTGTGACAGGCACACTTTGTCTTCAGATTGATTGATGATCTGTAAGCTTGCAGGTGCTGTTGTCCCATATATAACCATCTGTTTTATCCTGTTTCAACACCAATCATTGTCGGTTGTATGCATTCACAGCACAATTAGTATCCATTGATGTTGCTACCACCAGCAATTCATATTGCATCCTTATGTATGTTATACATCTATACACAAACATATTATTGTAGAGCTTCGCACACCGGCGATGCCCTTCGGGTTGGGGGCGTTCGTGGCTGTCAAGCTGAGGAGTTTGTGTTGGCAGCACAGGTTTGAACAGGGTTGGTACTGTAGGGAAGCTGAGGGCCCAGAGCAGCAGAGATAGGCCGAAAGTGTGATCAAGTCCCCGGAGAAGGGCAGAGTGCTGCGGGTAGCGCGAAAGAGGAGGACAGAAAGCAGACATGCGTGTGCACATTACCAGTGTTAAGCAAGGATGTTTATGGATGGAGTCACATGCAGAGAAAGATGTAAAAGACACATGGCAGTGAGCGGAAAGGTTCGGTGCGGCAAGTGGGGCTTCTCCGCGATGGCAAACGACATATGTACGTGTAAGTGCACCAGAATTCAGCTTTTGTGCAGCTTCGCAGTTCCCGAACTGCTGGAGCCCGCTCTTGTTCTTGTTCTTCTTGTTCTTCTTGTTCTTCTTGTTCTTCTTGTTCTTCTTATTCTTCTTCTTCTTGTTCTTGTTCTTGTTCTTGTTGTAGTAGTAGTAGTAGTTGTTGTTGTTCTTCTTCTTCTTGTTGTTGTTGTTGTGGTTGTTGTTGTTGTTGTGGTTGTTGGTTGTTGGTTGTTGGTTGTTGGTTGTTGGTTGTTGGTTGTTGTTGTTGTTGTTGTTGCTGTTGCTGTTGCTGTTGCTGTTGTTGTTGTTGTTGCTGTTGTTCTTGTTGTTGTTGTTGTTGTTGCTGTTGGTGTTGGTGTTGGTGTTGGTGTGGTGGTGGTTGTGGTTTGTGTTGTGGTTGTGGTTGTGGTTGTGGTTGTGGTTGTGGTTGTGATTGTGGTGGTTGTGGTTGTTGTGGTTGTTGTGGTTGTTGTCGTTGTTGTTGTTGTTGTTCTTGTTCTTGTTGTTCTTGTTGTTCTTGCAACACATCTTATTTTCGCATTTTTGTGGGCCCTAAAAATCGCCACATAGGTTGTGTTTTGGCGTTTTTTTTGTCTCTCTCGGAGCAAACAAAAACTGCAAATACCGATGTTTTTGGCGCCTCGGAAGCCCAAAGCCAACGGTATTTACGGTGATTTTTTCTTCTGGCAACAAAAGCCACGGTATTTACAATGTTTTTAGCCCGGGCCTGGCAAAAACACTGGTATTTACTCAGCATGTTGCGAGAAGAACTTTTTTCATGCCACAGGCACAAAAACACTGTAAATTACTGTGTTTTCGCGCTTGGCAGCACCAAAAAAACAGCAACAATCCGCCAAAAAGTGCCAAACATGGACCTCCAAAACGCATCTTGTGATTTTAGAGTCTTTTTTCCCACCCCGAACCCCGAAAAACACGAAAACACCACCAGAGTGAAGGATTTTGGGGGGTCGAGGGGTGCGCCAGGGTAGCTAAAGCTAGGCTGCAAGGTACACACCACCACACGGCGAGGCATCGCCGGATGAAAGGGCTACGCCCCCTGCCGCCGACCCCTGGAGGTTCAGGTTTGTGTGAACCTTAGCGCACCAGCTTGCAATTCCTCTTTGTCGCTTGCCTTTTTGTCCCTCCACCATGGCAACATCATCCAATATGTATCTAATAAACCAATATAATATTTGTGGCGCTTATGGCTCATGACGCATACACGCCATCTTCCAGAAAGAACGTTTTTCTGGGTGCATAGAACATGGGAATCATTGAGTCATTCGGTCTTCATGTGGATATCAATCCTACATAATCCTACCAGATTCAGACACTTCCAAGGGGTGCCACACCGAAACACCATGCCCCTGAAGGACAGACCTGGCCTTCGGCCTGCGGCTGCTTCTGCCTAACGTCGCTTTCTGAACCAACAAGTAGCTAGCTCCAAATTGGAGCCTTCAAGCCTCCAAAACGTTGGCTTCGCCACACCGAAACACCATGCCACTGAAGGACGGACCTGGCCTTCGGCCTGCGGCTGCCTCTGCCCAACGTCGCTTCTGAACTGAAAAGAATTGATCGCTCCTTCAAGCCTCCAAAACGTTGGCTTCGCCACACCGAAGCACCATGCCACTGAAGACGGACCTGGCCTTCGGCCTGCGGCTGCCGTCTCTGAACCGACAAGAAATGATAGCTCCAAATTGGAGCCTCGCCACACCGAAACAGAAACACCATGCCACTGAAGGACGGACCTGGCCTTCGCACTACGGCCTCTCTAGCTTTCTGCACCGACAAAAAACCTAGCTCCAAATTGGAGCCTCGCCACACCGAAAGAGCATGCCAGCAACCACGAAGCCTCCAAAACGCTGGCTTCGCTGCTTGCTTTCTTCTTCCATGTCTTGCTGGCTCTTGCCTCTTGCCTCTTACTCTTTTTCGCTATACTCTTGGTCCTTCTCTTGTCCCCTCTTCTCTGACGCGCTCCCCCTGCTGCTGTCGGCAGGGGTCGGCGGATTACGTGTTTATATATCTCATATATACATATATATATGTTTATGTGTGTCATATATGTCATACAAAGTCAATACCCCAAGTGTCCTGGTCTTGTTAATATAAACGATGAATTATAAACCTAATCTTTTCCGCTCACATTTTTTGATCCAGCACTGCTGAAATGAGTCCGGAGTCGAGGCTATCGCGGCGACCGCCTGAAGTCTGCGAAGATGAAGAGCGCAAAGCCCAAGAGTGGCCGCACCCACACGATCACAGGCGCTGTGGGCAATGGTCGGTCTATATATCTGAGGGTAAACTCACATAGATGTGGAAACTGGATGAACATGGTCCGTTTATTGACGAATGACTGCCTGTGTTGGTTGATGATGATTTTACGATGGAACATGATGATTTTACTCAACTTGAGGATATTCAGCAACAAACTGGGATTTAAATCAAAATTTATGTTTGCGGTGATAGAAACATGATGAACATGATGAAAGCGGATGGGGATTCTGAATTAATCTGCAAACTGGGCACTGGTTGTGCTGCAGATGTGGCGCGGCGTAGCCACATGTGGATGGGTGAAGTAATGGGGATATCGGATAGACTCCAAGAAGAAGTGGGGATCAAATTAATCAATGGGAAGAACACTCTTTCAAAAATATATGGTTGCCGCCGCGACTGAGACGGCAAGGCTGGGTTGTTGTCAATGGTTTCAAAAATGGCCAACTGAAGACTTAACTTGTACTTTCTGATCACCTTGGGTTCTTGGATGGTTCATACATTTTGCGAATGTTTTTGAACTTCATGATTAATTAGAAGGTTCATGTGGGTTTGTCTGAACATAGGGTACACCAAAATTTGATGTTTAATCATCATCTTCCTGAGTGAAATGGCCATTGCATTGGCCATCCCCACACGCCCGAATATCAGATTGTTGGTTAGCATCCCAATGTATCCCATTATATCACCATACAGCCCCATAAAATCCCATAACCCATAGAAATCAGATTTTCCCTGGAGGTTTATTGCCGGTACGGCCAGGCATGACGGACCTCTTAGAGACGCGACCCATGTCGCACGCCCTTCGGCTGCGATGCATCATAACGACCTCAATGCGGGAAAAAATGGGGATTTTCGTCCTTTTCGATCATTAAAGCTGGATGATCATGGAGGGACATTGGGAGTTTCTACTTGCAAAGTTCACTTGCTGAAGGCGTGTTTCTAGGCAGGTCAAACTGAACGGACTTCGGCTTGGGCTGGACTTCAGCTTGGGCTTGTCGTGGCCGAATCAACCCAGCTTTGAGTAATTCAGGGAGCCACTTTTGTCCTTTCCCTTTTTGTTTTAGAATAGATTCAGCAAAGCAACGCCCCAGGTCAGCTTCCATGCTCATCCACAGGATCTTGCAAAAGCAGGCAGGTCCTGTGCAATTTTATCAATTCCCTGGCTTCCAAACTTCCAAGAAAAAGTTCGCGTGTCCAACTTTTCGAGGTTTCATGGCCTTCTCTGTTGCTGTTTAAGATGTTTAAGTGAAACCTGCACAAATGAGGGTGCTCCAACCTCCCTTGAAGGTTAGGAGTTAGGATGGTTTGCAGGTTGCCAGGATCTTTCTTTCGCTTTTCCAGTTTGCCAAGGGGCCAAGTCACTTAACCGATCTAACAGTGCTGGGCAGGCACCATTCTGCTTCCGAAGCCAAATCTTGGCTTCATTTCCAAGTGGGAAGGTCCTCCTGAGATCCTCGGCCAATTCCGTTGTGTTTCTCGAAGTAAGTACTGTTGGGATCACCTAACAATGGGATTCCTCCCTCGGAAAAAAAAACACACACAAAAAGGATACATTTTGGTGATTTTTGTCCCGAATTTTGAGAACAAACGCATATTGAATGCCCAGTAGAACCGGCACCTGTCGCTGCTACTGAGGAAGAGCAGAATCTTGGCTGATGGCTCCGTAGCACTGAAAAGGAACTATGGTTTGGTGGGAAAATGTAGATCCTCTGTGGGGTTTAGTGGTGGTTTAGTGAGGTTTTAATGGTTGATGCATGTTGATGCATTTTTAATGGGGCTTAATATTAATACTTGAGTCAGAACTGCGTGCCAGAGCATTCATTGGACTCAGTCCCGCTTGAGCCGTTACTCTTTTGGGAAAACAACAGCCTTGCAGGGCCCAGTGGCATGTCATGGCGCGAGCTCATGACACCATGATAGGTTCTAGATCGACAGTGGGTCTAAGTAAAAACCACCCGATAGAGAAACCATTTTGTTTTTTGTTCTTGGGTCTTTTTCCTTTTGGGGATGAATCATGACCTGCCCCAAGAGGCTGACCATGTCAATTTTGCAGCAACAAGGATTGACCAAGAATCCAAATCTTTGAGTTGGGTAGTGACAATTTGGAGGATTTCAGTAGACCATTCACAATTCCTCCTCTACCCATACTTGGTCTAAGGCAAAATTGTCAGGAAATCCCCATGAATGACGGTAAAAACAGGTTTTCCTGTAACAAATCACATTTATATAGATCACCCGAATGGATTTGCGTGAAATAGGGCGCCCCCATTCCATCCACTCGTTTATCATCATTTTCCCCAAGCTTTGTAATAACCGAGGGGGTATACCCCATTTTCAGACACCCAAATGAAGCGAAGGCTATGTCTCAGAGTTTGCCTTCAAACGCGCAAACTCCACACCTTTGATGAGTCGCTTGGATATGACCCAGGAGGCTGTGCCCAGCATGTCTTGGTAATTCTACAAGCAGGAGTGAAGGATTACAACCAGTTCCAACCAATTACACATATTGGGAGATGATACACCGGCATTTGTTACATTAGTTGAAAATTATGCGAAATTGATTGGAAAAACCGGCGAGCTTGGGGAGACCTACGAATGGCCAGTAGGAAAACACCAGCAGTTTGGAGGGGCACATTTCCATCATTTTCCAACTGCTCAATATCTCTTCGTCAACTTTCCTTTTTTGAGGTCCGGTATATCTCCAAGGCTCGATCCCAGTCGAGAAACTGAGGTATGGCCATGTTGGAGCTTGGCCGAAGCGATGATTTGCTGCCACCAGATCATGAATGCTTCATGGCCGATGGTCCGATGGTGGAGATGCAGAAAACACCGGGAGGTCAAACACCATGGTTTTTCTCTTGATTTTGATCATCCAGGAAGGACATTTCCGGTGAAAACTGCTTGAAACCAAGTTTGGGATGATACTATCTTTATTGCATTTTTTGGGGGGGCGCAAATGACTTCTCACCACTTTGGGATAAGATCAATGATGGAACGGATTCAGTCACGGGGAATCAGTGTCGGGAATTGATATCCAACTTATCCGCTGAGATTGCACTTATTCATTGGGGATTCATCCTTTAGCTTGGATTCATTGATTTATCGATTTATCGACAGCTGACTACGATCTTGAGACGAGACACCTCGACCCGATATCTCGCTCTTGCAATTCTGACGGGATAGGCTTGGGAACCTTGATTTCCCAGATTTGCAAAGGGATCCCAACAATTTCACAATTCCAAGTATTTCATGATTCTCGGACTTCTCGACTGCCAAAATCCTTCATATTAACCTTGGCCCAGGCTTTTACCGAAGACGGAACAACTACATGAGCCCCGGACAGTGAGTTGTGTGACTCGGTGCCGCATCTTTGGATGGATGCCCCATCTAAACGGCGGTCTTGAGATGTTCAGAAACTATGTAATTAGGAGAGCAGGTTAGAGTGGACGAAGTGGCCTTTTGCCAGAAGTGTGACTTGCTTGGCTTCTACAACATCTCAACACCAGATGCTGATGGGAGAACCCACCAGCTATTTACGTGCAAACTCGAGTTTGCTGAAGCGCCGACTGCCGAAGGCAGTCGGTCTGATAAGTGCCTGGGGAATGAGGCAGCCTCAAGTCAAGATATTTTGTGACAGTTTGGCAGGAGAAGCCATAAGTGATCCACTCTTTCTTGCAGATCAAAGGTTTAGGATGCTTTAGGTAAATATTTTGGTGCTGGCTGGTTCCCGAAAGTGCACGGAAACAGCCCTCCACTGGGCTGTTTTTGTTTCACCAACAAAGTTGTATGGGATGGAGTTGGAGAAAAGTCGTTTTCGATGCACAGGTGGTTTCACTCCTTCCTTGGCTGTGACGAGTGACCGTCGTCCATGTGCACCTCGTTGGTTGCGCTTCCTAAATGGAGACCCTGCTCTAGAGCCTAGTTGAGCCTAGCGTTTCCACTTTCGAATCAGTAGACGATTAAAAGTGGCAGTGAAACGAGGCAGAAGTACCCAGCATAAAAGTACAATGCATGGTCATATTCTCAGCATTTCTCAGCAACTATCATCCTGATAATCGTAGCCCCAATTTCTTCAACGTACACAGTACCATGGGTAAGCAGGGTCTGAAGCCCTTGAATGGTCAGTGATAGATCCACCTGGGTTGGAACTTTAGCAATTTGAAAGGGAGTTGCCGGTGAAAATGCTCACTTGTAACCCCAGAAATAGATACAACTAGTATCAAATTGTATGCTGCACTGCAGTAGATGTAGCTTCGATGTTCCTCGTCCTTGACAATCAGCACCCATTTTGCACAAGGACACAAGACACGAAGAACCTGTTCGAGTGGAGGCCTGGTATGTGTTCGATGTCCTTCAAAATTGCAGTATATATCAGGCTTCTGTTTGGCTGGTGATAAGTAAATGACTGGCCCATAGCTTTCCTCTGTTCGAAGGCCCTTACCTTGGACTCTATGACGAACTCACAGGCTGGCACCAGATCTCACCGGACTCATTGAGGCAATCAGATTTTGGAAGAGGGAAGTGTGTATATACAGATATATACAGTATAAATATATATATATGGTCCCGTGTCCCGTGTTCCCACCCCCCCCCCATGGGATGGGGGGGGGTATGATGCCCCTGTGGTGGTGTATATACATACATACATACCTACATACCTACCTACCTACCTACATACCTACGTACATACATACATACATACCATTACATTACCTTACCTTACATTACCTTACCTTACCTTACATTACCTTACCTTACATTCCATACATACATACATACATACATACCTACCTACCTACATACCTACGTACATACATACGTACATACATACATACATACCATTACATTACCTTACCTTACATTACCTTACCTTACCTTACATTCCATACATACATACATACATACATACATACATACATACATACATACATACATACATACATTACATTTACATACTACCCATTACGTACATACATACATACATACCATACATTACCTTACCTTACATTACCTTACCTTACCTTACCTTACCTTACCTTACCTTACCTTACATTCCATACATACATACATACATACATACATACATACATACATACATACATACATACATACATACATACATACATACCAACATACCAACATACCAACATACCCAACATACCACCACCACAGGCCACAGGGGGGGGGGACCAGAAGAACCATACCACCACCACAGGCCACAGGGCGGGGGGGGGACCAGAAGAACCATACCACCACCACAGGCCACAGGGGGGGGCCAGAAGAACCAGACGATACTGTCCACCCATACCCATTGGTGGGGGGGGGGGGGGGGGGTGGCCAACGCTGCACCATATATGAATGATAGGGGATGACCCTATAGCGATTCCCCTGTTTTGCATGAGTCGCCTCAAAGTTTGTGATCGCAGAAATCTTCACTACCGAAAGGGGAGGACCCTTATTTGCGCATGCTATGAACATGAACAAATATATAATTTCATTTCATCTGCCATTCATACATATTACATAATTATATCTTCATTCTGTATCATTATGTGTCATTATATATCAACAATATATCAATATGTATGTAGAATATAGTATGTATACATACATATCATTATATACACGATATATATATATATACATATGTACATGTATGTAGTGCCGGTCGGAAACTTAGAAACCCGAGCCGAAACGTGCAAAAAATACTTCAGTACAACATAGAATGCCCCCCGGCCCCCAGTTAAAATGCCTCACTGCACACATATCAAAAAATATCAGATGCCAGTTACTTCAAAATGCAGGGGAAACCAAGGGAACATAATCCAGAATACTAAACTTAGAATGCCTTGGAGCCCAAATACAATAGATATCATGCACGTTAAATCCTTCATAGTGTGCTTAACCCTGGTGAAAAACCATCCCCAATATCACCATACATGGGTGGTAAAAACAATCCCCAAATTAGATAGAGGTTTTCCATTTGGTTTACAGTATCGTGCATTCACGGTTCATGCTCCTTTCTTTTCCTTCCCTCTTCCTCCATGTTCCCTTTGTTTTCCATCTCGTTTCCTTTCTTTACGCCAGCCCTGCGTAGGATGGCCATTCATGTTCCGTTCTTTTCCTTTCCTTTCATGTTCTTTTCCCTCTTTTCAGATTGGGAAAATACATGTTTCTACTTTAAAAGTTCAAACAAAAAACCGCCACATTCCCTGCTCCTCATTCACTATACAATTTCATCGAGCTTTGGTCAGTTTTCTTCATTTCTCCTCACAAATGTTCACAAAACACCGCTACAGCATTTTGAAGATTTTTATCGTTGTCCTTTCATGTGATTGCATTTTTGCGGAGACGTGTTGCAAAAAGAAAGCGCGGCTACATTGTTTTTCCATGATTGATTCTTCGGCTGATATTCCAAAAAAAACATGGCCACACCATTTTCCACCAGTTTTCGAAGATTTTTAGTTGTCCTTTCATTTGTTGTCATTTTTGCTGAGACGTGTTGCAAAAAAAACTCAGCCACACTTTTGCAGGGTCAAATGAGAAAAAAGGTGGGTCATTCTATGCTTTAGGGTTTCCATGATAATTACTGGTAAATAATGGTAAATAAGCGCTTTTTGCACCATATTACATGGGTATGCTCGGAATTTCCAAGTTAAACCACAAGGGGGCGTTCTCAGTTAGGTTTTGCTCCACATGCGCGGTGTTTTTGGTCATTCTAAGTTTCGGACCGTCGCTATTTATGTACATCATTTCAGGTATGTGTATAAATACATCCTGACACACACACATATATATATAGAGATAAATTATATTTGTACAACTACATATGTATATACACATGTATGTATCATTACATCTCCCTCTCTCTCTCTCTCTGTACATACAAATATATACACATGCGTATGTGAGATCTATACACATCTGACGTTTGCGGGAAACGATGGCCTGCAAACAAAGGTGGTTGGCGTATTTGTTACCCAATTCGCTCAAATTTGCCTTGACGCGGGTCATGGATACTGTACGTTGGAAAGAGTTCTTCTCTTTGGAAGAGGAATGATAAACACATATCGGCAGTGATTTTTCTTTCAGGAAGGTCTCAATACTGTTCACGTATGGTTCAAATTTGTCACTCCCCACAAAATTGATGAAACCATTGGCATTTCAGTCCTAAAGAATACTAACGAATCATATTCAAGAGCATTCAGGAGTACCTTATGATCCATTTCAATATAACAACCCATGGTTTTTCCCAACTAAATCCCCCCCAAAAAACTCAAGATCCACAACCGATTTTCTCAGGCAAGTGCCACAGTCGAGCCAGAGCCAATGGCCCCGATGGCCCCGATGGCTACGGCCAATGGACATGAGGCCTACCTGGGATATCCTGGCATCCTGGCCAGAAGAAACACATTTTTTTTCATGGGGATTTCACACTGATTGTGGGTTTTAACCATGTTTTAACAATGTTTTCATGGGGATTTCAGATGGTTTAAGCTCTATTTCTCACACTTTGCTGTGGAAACCATGGCCCATCAATAGATGACAACTCCCCATAACAAGATGGTGACTTGATATCTTTGAAACCACCTTGTTGATAAACTTGATCATAAACTATGATTTTTCTGAACTTGGGGGATAGCCTGCAATTTGAGCAGCTTTCATGGGAAAGTTACGACCAACCATAGGATTTTGGGGCACAGACTGTTTGGGTCTGAGCTGGGAATATCTGTAGATTTAACTCCCAGGTTTTGGGTTGAACACGGACCAGCCTTGGCAATGGGTAACTGTACATATGAAGTATTCCTGTCTTTCAGTGGGAAATTCCATGGCATAGTTTTTTTTCCTACCCCCATTGTAAGGTTTGATTGTCAGTCAAAAATGACTGAATCTATATAGCCAACAATACTGGACGACTTCCCAACAAGATTTAGGAGAGAACCGATGACCGTGCGCTCTTAAAGGCCAGGTTACTGTATGGGGCCCTACGGGATGCAAAAGTCCTGTTCCAGATGCAGGCCACACCCAAGACCTGCTAAATTCATCGTCATTCACATCCCAAATCAGGTCACACAAGTTCCACTGGTTCACCCATCATACCCAGCGATCATAGCCACCATGCCAGGTTCCGGCCACTCTAGAGCTGCAGCCAGAGGTGACAGAGGTGGGAGGATGTCACCCGTGGAGACATCTCCTGAATATTGACATACCAACCATGATGAACCATGATGCTAAAGATGGTTCAAACCTGGGTGGTGATTTTCTCCAACTTCTTCCGGATCATGTTCTATGCTTGAGATGATGATCCCAAACATTGCAACATCGCTCTGACCGAGACATGTCCCCCCATAGCATCCCCAACATCTAGGACCAGCGCCACCAGGCACCAACATCTTCCATGCCAGTGTTCAGGGCCAATGGTCATGCTCCTCTGGAGGCACGGCCAATATTTTAGGGTTGTGGTGAATTGGTCCCTCTAGCTGAGCTGTAGTTTTCACATTAAACATAGGTTTCAACATGTTTCTTGCCCTGGTTCGCACACCTGTAATCATTAAAAAAACACATACTCAGGGAAGGATGTCCACATCTTGTTAAGTTTTAGCCTTAAGCCCCCCGCGGAAAGCATCATGTTCTGTTTGTTCTTTTTCATGCAGGCTTATATAAGTTTTAGGGTTTTAGGGTTGGAGTTTTTGGGATTTTACGGTCTGAGGGTTCAGGTTTTAAAGTTTCCCTTGGTGGTCTTGTGCGAGAATAAACCAAGGGAAAACTCAGATTTTCTGCATGCAAACATTAGGTGGTTGCAGCGAAGATGTTTCTGCCACGGTTACGAGCCACTTACGAGCTGAGATGGTTAACCAAGTTGATTCTGCCTTCAAGGGTGCACACTGTGGTATCTGAGGAGCACTTCCAAGCTCCGAGCCAGGCCATTTTCTTGGGAACGCGTTTTGGCCTAGACTTGAGGCACCTAGTTTTGGGCCATACCAAAGATATACACCTCAGGACGAGATGTTCATGGACAGAGAATGGTTGGTAGGCCAGGGCGCTTTTCTGACACAGGGCCTCAACCATGTGTCCTGGAAAGATTCATTGTGCAAGGGTGCCGGCCGATTTTCTTCCTTTCGAAGGTGGCAGCGGTCATTCCCGATGAGCCGGTTGAGGCTGCCTTTCCCAGCCAGCCCGCCCAGGCATGTTCCGTGGATTCTCAACATTTTCTGTCAGGTGAGAGTTTCTTCCGATTATGCTTTTCAATCTGTCGCCATTTTTTTCATGGGTGCAAAGCCGCAGTCCAAACAAGTCCAAACTTGCCTTGGCCTGTGTGCTTTGCCAAGAGCAATGAAGGTGCTGCTTTCAGCACAAGGAATTGGCTAATTAGTGACTCAAGAGTTTGAACGTAAATATCGTAAATGCGCACACACAAACACAGACACACATTCACTTGGATGCAATGTGGTTCTGGAGGAATTCATTGTGCAAGGGTGCCGGCCGATTTTGCTCCTGACGCCTGCCTTTTTGAAGGCTGCAGCGGTCATTCCCGATGAGCCGGTTGAGAATGCCTTTCCCAGCCAGCCCGCCCAGGCATGTTCCGTGGATTCTCAACATTTTCTGTCAGGTGAGAGTTTCTTCCGATTATGCTTTTCAATCTGTCGCCATGTTTTTTTCATGTGTGTTTGATTTGGTGCCGCAGTCCAAACAAGTCCAAACTTGCCTTGGCCTGTGTGCTTTGCCAAGAGCAATGAAGGTGCTGCTTTCAGCACAAGGAACTGGCTAATTAGTGACTCAAGCGTTTGAACGTAAATGCACACACACAGACACACAGTCACGTTCACTCGGATGCAATGTGGTTCTGGAGGAATTCATTGTGCAAGGGTGCCGGCCGATTTTGCTCCTGGCGCCTGCCTTTTTGAAGGCTGCAGCGGTCATTCCCGATGAGCCGGTTGAGGCTGCCTTTCCCAGCCAGCCCGCCCAGGCATGTTCCGTGGATTCTCAACATTTTCTGTCAGGTGAGAGTTTCTTCCGATTATGCTTTTCAATCTGTCGCCATGTTTTTTTCATGTGTGTTTGATTTGGTGCCGCAGTCCAAACAAGTCCAAACTTGCCTTGGCCTGTGTGCTTTGCCAAGAGCAATGAAGGTGCTGCTTCAGCACAAGGAATTGGCTACTGTAACTAGTGACTCAAGAGTTGGAACATAAATGCACACACACAGACACACAGTCACGTTCACTTGGATGCAATGTGGTTCTGCAGGAATTCATTGTGCAAGGGTGCCGGCCGATTTTATTCCTTGCGCCTGCCTTTTTGAAGGCTGCAGCGGTCATTCCCGAAGAGCCGGTTGAGGCTGCCTTTCCCAGCCAGCCCGCCCAGGCATGTTCCGTGGATTCTCAACATTTCTGTCGCCATTTTTTTCCCCAACAGCGTAAGCTAATGGGGTCTTCAGCCCAGAATAGCTCCGCTGTGCACTGGTGCAGGCGCCGGGTCTTTTCCGAAGGTTCCGCAGAAGGTCTGGGAGGCTTTGGTGCAGAGCCAGGTCAGGTTCAACAGGGTTCCGGAGAAGGTTCCGGAGAAGGTCTGGGAGGCTTTGGTGCAGAGCCAGGTCAGGTTCAACAGGCTTCCGGAGAAGGTTCCGGAGAAGGTCTGGGAGGCTTTGGTGCAGAGCCAGGTCAGGTTCAACAGGCTTCCGGAGAAGGTTCCGGAGAAGGTTCCAGGAAGCCTTGGTGCAAAGCCAAGTCAAGTTCAACGGGTTCCGGAGAAGGTTCCGGAGATGGTTCCGGAGAAGGTTCCGGAGAAGGCCTGGGAGGCTTTGGTGCAGAGCCAGGTCAGGTTGAACAGGCTTCCGGAGAAGGTTCCGGAGAAGGTTCCAGGAAGCCTTGGTGCAAAGCCAAGTCAAGTTCAACGGGATCCGGAGAAGGTTCAGGAGAAGGTCTGGGAGGCTTTGGTGCAGAGCCAGGTCAGGGTCAACAGGGTTCCGAAGAAGGTTCCGGAGAAGGTCTGGAAGGCTTTGGTGCAGAGCCAGGCCAGGTTCAACAGGGTTTCGGAGAAGGTTCCGGAGAAGGTTCCAGGAAGCCTTGGTGCGAAGCGAAGTCAAGTTTAACAGGTTCCGGAGAAGGTTGCAGAAGCCAAACCAGGTCAGGTTCATTTAAATCACGGAAACCCAGCTGAGGCTTTTCCAGCGCTTGGCTTCGCAGCGCGCTTCAGAAAGATTTGTAAAAATAAAACGTTGCGGCTGTTGGGGATACCACCGAAGCTTATTCCCGAACAACGTAGGCTAATGGGGTCTTCAGCCCAGAATAGCTCCGGTGTGCACTGGTGCAGGCGCCGGGTCAAGTTCAACAAGGTTCCGGAGAAGGTTCCGAAGGTTCCGGAGAAGGTCTGGGAGGCTTTGGTGCAGAGCCAGGTCAGGTTCAACAGGGTTCCAGAGAAGGTTCTGGAGAAGGTTCCGGAGAAGGTTCCCGAGAAGGTCTGGGAGGCTTTGGTGCAGAGCCAGGTGGTTCAACAGTTCCGGAGAAGGTTCCGGTGAAGGTCTGTGAGGCTTTGGTGCAGAGCCAGGTCAGGTTCAACAGGGTTTCGGAGAAGGTTCCGGAGAAGGTTTGGGAGGCTTTGGTGCAGAGCCAGCTCAGGTTCAACAGTTCCCGAGAAGGTTCCAGAGAAGGTGTGGGAGGCTTTGGTGCAGAGCCAGGTAAGGTTCAACAGGGTTCCGGAGAAGTTCCGGAGAAGGTTCCGGAGAAGGTTCCGGGAGGCTTTGGGGCAGAGCCAGGTCAGGTTCAACAGGCTTCCGGAGAAGGTTCCAGAGAAGGTCTGGGAGGCTTTGGAGCATGCTGAGGTGTTTCCAGCGCTTGGCTTCGCAGCACGCTTCAGAAAGATTTGTAAAAATAAGACGTTGCGGCTGTTGGGGATACCACCCAAGGATTTTTTTTTTCATGTGTGTTTGATTTGGTGCCGCAGTCCAAACAAGTCCAAACTTGCCTTGGCCTGTGTGCTTTGCCAAGAACAATGAAGGTGCTGCTTTCAGCACAAGGAATTGGCTAATTAGTGACTCAAGAGTTTGAACGTAAATGCGCACACACAAACACAGACACACATTCACTTGGATGCAATGTGGTTCTGGAGGAATTCATTGTGCAAGGGTGCCGGCCGATTTTGTTCCTTGCGCCTGCCTTTTTGAAGGCTGCAGCTGTCATTCCTGATGAGCCGGTTGAGGCTGCCTTTCCCAGCCAGCCCGCCCAGGCATGTTCCGTGGATTCTCAACATTTTCTGTCAGGTGAGAGTTTCTTCCGATTATGCTTTTCAATCTGTCGCCATTTTTTTTTCATGTGTGTTTGATTTGGTGCCGCAGTCCAAACAAGTCCAAACTTGCCTTGGCCTGTGTGCTTTGCCAAGAACAATGAAGGTGCTGCTTTCAGCACAAGATTTTGGCTAATTAGTGACTCAAGAGTTTCAACGTAAATGCGCACGCACAAACACAGACACACATTCACTTGGATGCAATGTGGTTCTGGAGGAATTCATTGTGCAAGGGTGCCGGCCGATTTTGTTCCTTGCGCCTGCCTTTTTGAAGGCTGCAGCTGTCATTCCTGATGAGCCGGTTGAGGCTGCCTTTCCCAGCCAGCCCGCCCAGGCATGTTCCGTGGATTCTCAACATTTTCTGTCAGGTGAGAGTTTCTTCCGATTATGCTTTTCAATCTGTCGCCATTTTTTTTTCATGTGTGTTTGATTTGGTGCCGCAGTCCAAACAAGTCCAAACTTGCCTTGGCCTGTGTGCTTTGCCAAGAACAATGAAGGTGCTGCTTTCAGCACAAGGAATTGGCTAATTAGTGACTCAAGAGTTTGAACGTAAATGCACACACACACAGACACACAGTCACGTTCACTTGGATGCAATGTGGTTCTGGAGGAATTCATTGTGCAAGGGTGCCGGCCGATTTTGTTCCTCGCGCCTGCCTTTTTGAAGGCTGCAGCTGTCATTCCTGATGAGCCGGTTGAGGCTGCCTTTCCCAGCCAGGCCAATGGCTCTTCCCACCTTGAGGCGGGGGACAGTTCTGAAGAACTTGCTCAACGGGCGTGATATCAAATCCCAAAGAACAGATTGTCCCTGTTTTTTTGAAGAGACCTTTGCAAACACTAGTTCATGTGTGTGAGAAAGTGAATAGTTGTGACGACCAGTTCTCGTTGTTGGACGTTGTGAAGAACAAGTGTGCCATTGGTTCAGTATTTGACATGCTTCTGCAGACAAATAGGCAGCGACTGCATCCAACTTCATACTTTAGTGTCTCTCAATCTTGATTGCCAGGTCAACTGTTGCAGCAACAATTTAGTCAGTGTTGTTCTTAAACTCTGGTTGATTCATTGATCAATACGGGGGAGGGGTACCAGTACCAATGTTGATATTTTATGGCTGGTTTGGGGGCCCCCTCCAATCCGCCAGGCTGAAGCACACGCAGGCTTTGACAGTGCACAGGTCTTTGCCGCGGAGGTGGATGGATCTGAATGGCCTGGTGGAGAATTGGGACTGTTTTTGTTACCCTTTGTTACCCTTTGTTACCCAAAGATATCAAAGATGCGCATGTGAAGCGCGAAGTGGATTGGACATTTTTGAAGAGAACCAGGATGCAAACCTGGTGAACATCATGGGGAGATCACAAACCGATGGGCACAAGCAACAATATCCAGCAAGGCGAACAACACTCGTTTCACTTCCAATCATACAGAACTATTAATTAGTTGAAATAAGTGGTTAGTAAAAAACACCTTCACTTCACTATGATAGAATTTAGAAAAGATTAAGCTTAAGTTGCAGTTTGTTTGAGACTCTACTTGACTGCCATCACCAGAATTGATGGTCCTTAGAAAAATTGGCCTATCTCACCACCAGCCGGGCAACCCGTGCCCTAGGTGGAAGAGGTCAGAGGTGAGTACGAAGTCACTGACTCATTGGCTGAGGGTCCGGGCGGGCTGTGAGAATTGCATGGGCAAAACTTTGACATGGAACATCCAGAATCCACATGGCAAGTTCCATAGGTGAAAGTTCGTTCAAAAGGCACTTTTTGTGGTTCCAACTGATTTTCAGAGATATACATGAAAATCAGAACAGTTTCTTGTTAGATAGGCAAATTTGATACATCATGACACATTGTACACTGCAAAGTTCAACAGGACATGCAAAAGCACTTCAGAATTTTAGTGGCTGGCTTAAGGTTCCAAGAGCGACCAGCTATTTGTGGGTTCTTTTTTCCCACCATGTTAGGTGACAAAAAAATCACTTCTTCACTTCTGTGATACAATCGAAGAGTTTCTTTTGGGCATATATTCCTGGTCTATTCATGGATATGTTTGGGATGTACAGTATAGTATGTTTTGGAGCCGTGTTGGCTCAACGCTTGAGATGACATTGAACCTCCATCAGCGGCCAGGCGACATTTTGTAAATTCACAAGTTAATATCAAGGTCAGTAAAAGGCCCCCAACAAACATAGGAAAGGTGCATCATCAAGAGTTTTAATGTGGAACCCCTTGTTGTATCCTGTTGGGACTTGTTTAGTCATGCATGTAGTCAATTGTACACACGAAGAGCGTCTCCATCATGAGCCATGACATTTTGCTCAGCCATAGCTATGGAAGCGCTCAGTCAATGGAGGAAGTTTGGACCCACCCTTTGTCAATCAAACCTGTCAACGGGACATTCGCCAGGTATAGAACTTCCGACAATTTCCCCACTGAAAATGGAGATGGGGAGATGGGCATCAACTTAGGAACCCGCACGCATTTCCTGGATCTAGAGCTAGAGAGTCTGTCAGCCAAATTCGGATACGATACTTGTGAGGATGGCTCGCAGAATAGTGTTGAAGCCTGCAGATCTTTTCACCGCAATGGCTCATTTTTTCCCACCCAAAGTTCGATACTTGCTGATAGCTGAATGTCAAACCCGGGGGCCTTTGGAATCCTTTGGACATCTTTGTAATTATGACTTAAAGTCACTTATGAGCCCAATTTTAAGGAACCAAATCTGGCTCCTTGGTTTTTTCCAATTGGGGCGGCCAGGAGACCTTGCCCTTTCGAACGCCCCGTCGTCGCACGCCTTTGACGCCCTTGCCACGCTCGACGTTGAAGGCTCGGCTGATGCGTCGGCGCACCCGGCGGGTTTTTCGTTGCAGGGTGGGAGTTCGATGCCAATGATTGGGCTGGTTATGTCTGGTTATATCAAATCCCAATCATTTGGTTATATATAATGATAGGTATCAGATATATCTGGTTAATCTATATAATTGGTTTAAAGAATGAGACCTAACCAATTATATAGATGTCATTTTCCCAAGTGATGAAGGTTCGAATTCTGATCCAAATTCATTCAAGGTTCATTTCCTGAAAGGCTACCCAGCTGAGGTCAGCAAAGTCTGGACTCCCCGACGTCTTGCAGTCCAGGTGCCAAGCAGCGGGTCAGTCGATCATGAGCCAAGAATACAACTCTATCGAGACATCCTTCGACTATCTTCGACTCATAGGCCCATGAAAATGGGCCAATTCATCCAATTTGGATTGGAAGTGAATCAACCACAGCTGTCGATGAGTATCCCGAACCGGGGATGAAAGCGTGCAAGGGAAGCGCCCAAACTTGGCTGGCCAACATCCGATGGGAGCTACATCAGCTAACTTTGGAAGTCTATTGACCCCTAGATGAGTGATATTGAATCATTGAGTAAATGATATATATATATATATATTATATATATTATATATATATATTATATATATATATATTATATATAATATTGGCATAAATTGGCCAACATATTGGATATCCAAAAATCCATCATTCAATATAGAATGTATCCATCATTCAATGACCCCGTACTGGACGACCGCTTCCCCCGTTTTTTGTCAAAAACCCCCCCAGACAGCATGGTAAAAAGCAGGGGATTGGAACACCAACATGGGAAAAAATTGGGGGTGGAGAAAAAGAGATGAACGGGAGATGGGATATGATGGGATTATATCTAAATATATCCCCATTATCGCCATGAATTCACCATTTTAGTTGGTACATGTTGGTACGGTAAAATCCCTACTTTCGATGGTTACATCTCCATGATATCACCGCCCAGGACAGAGTTCGGAGCTCCAGGACAGAGCCCCAGAGCTGCAGGACCTGCCAACATCAACCAACTAATGTTACGATTGTTACGGGATAACTGAGACAAATTGGGCAGAAACATCTCAAATTTGGGGCACCCGTGGAGATGAACTGAGACTAACGGCGATATGAAGCAAACGCAGAAGGTCAACCGTTATCTTTGGGTAACTTCATGGTCATCAAATGGGGGGTCGGGTGATGTTTAAATGACGGATCACACATTTATCTTACGCTTCAAACATGTCACTCTGCCTTTCTCCCCATTCTCACTTGGGTTTGACCAAAAACCATCCGTTCGAAGAACCCCCAGAAACTGGTCACATCCCCCATAAATCGGACATCGATGCCGACGATTGGAGAATAGCTTCACAGACCTCTGGAGCTGGGAAGAGCGACCGAAAGAAAGTCCCAGCCACTTTGCCACTGAATTTTGGAGAAGTTTTCAGGTCCAGAAAATTTGTGTTCTACCAGTCGTGTTTTACTCAACAGGAGATACAACCAACAAGAAATGGAAAACTCCCCCCCCGAGGTGGGAGACGGACACTAAAATGAAAGGATTGATGGAAGTCAACTTATGCACAGGACAATTGCCAGGACAGAAGGTGGATGACCCTCCAGTCTGATGTTTTCTCAGGCATGTGTGTCCTATTTATTGCCGTTTCATGATCAGAACCACCTTTTTTTCTCCCTTGGATGACTGTTATTGCTTCCCCAATATGGCTATATGGCTCTATATATATACAGTATATATATAATATACACATACTGTACATATATATATATACATACAGCATATATTAAACATATACAGTATATATAGTATATATATAGTATATATATATACTATATATATATACACTATGTATATACACTATATATATATACTATATATATACACTATATATATACACTATATATATACATTATGATATATATCTATCTATCTATCTATATATATATATATATATACGTATATATATATATATATGGGCCGAAATTGTCCGCCCCAGTCACCCGAGTCCTTAGAGCCCCTCACGCCGGAGATGAGGTACGTCACAGAGTTTTCGAGAGACCATGCAGGAACTCAGGCGGATGGATCTTCGAGGGAATGGGTGGATCAAGATCCAGGACCCCGTAGGATGGGGTCTTGGGAAGTTTCCAGATAGGTTCCCGAAGTGAGAGGATTCAAAGCTACCTTCCAGTAAATTCACATAGATATGGAAAATCCATAAAACAACAGAATCTGTAGAACATGTTCCTTGGGTTCCCACTGGGTTTTCATAGCTATATTCATTAACTGGAGGCAAAATCGGGTTCCTTCACCAGCTCCGTAAGAGCCCCTTCGCCTCGTTTCGAGGCATCGTCTGGGCCCGCTTCCCTGCCACAACCACTGTGTGGCTTTGGTTTATGACCGGCAGCACCAGTGCCTTTCCGGCAGACTAGATGCAGTCAGATGTGGATTTCGTTTTTTCGTCAAAGGCATTTGAGCAATTGAGTGATGACCAGGATGACCCATATAGTCCTGCCAAGCTCAGGCGCATGAGCACGAAGGTCGGAACCTGAGCAGTGACTCAGTGGAAGGCTGCACGACACCGCCATTTTGATGAACATTGTTGTGTTCTAAAGTTTCTAAAGCAATTTCCCCCGTTCCCCTTGGCCTCCCCAAAACATCCTGACCACCGTTGCAAGGCTTCCCAGGAGTTGCCAGTGCAGTTGAAGCCCAAGGTGCATCATTTGCTCAGTCACTGGGACTGAAGCTGATGGTTGGCAACCCACTTGGGTCTCAAAATGGTACCAAGAGTTTGTTTGGGGCTGGGAGTCACCCAAAAAATCCTGTATATAGTATTTGGACCATACCATCCAGGTCGTGGGTAGCCAATGACTGCACATCCAAAACCCACTGTTTGGGGCTTCAGATGAGATTCGCACGAATGAGCACACGGACATTGTGATTTTGCAGTGCTCTAAGAGTCTTGACATCGAAGTCTTTTCTTGACCTTGCCTTGCAAGTTGCTTCAAATGTTTTTGTCCAGAACCAAGGCGAGCTTCAATCCCTTCAATTCCCGCGAAAGAGGTCTGGCCTGACACTGGCCTGGATTCAGGGTCCATAGGGTCCGATGGACAGAATGAAGCCATCTCATCCTGCTAGATCTGCTAGGGACATTCAGCACTACTCCCATGAGGTCCCAGTCAAGGCTCTGGGACTCTGGGGATGAGGGGAAGCTGGAAGAGCTGGAAGCTAACTGCTGACGCAGATTCCTTGTGCCTATGTATGTATATATATATAATATACGTATACACATATGAACATATGATATATATATATACATACATACACACATTGCATCCATATTGTTGATGGGCTTGTCCCCTCCCATCTTGTGGAAGGAAATGTAGATACCCTTACACCTAGTCCCATCAAAGAGGGGATTTATTGCCTCACCTAATACTGCAGAAGCTGGCCAGGCACTGGACATCTAAAATGAACATAAGGGGTATACAGAAATGGGGGAGGGAAAGGGCCGTGAAAGTACCCCTGAGTGGAAATGATTGAAATCCCCCAAAACCACAACTACAAGACACCCCTGCAGCCCTGTTGGCTGATAATTGGATTAAATTGGTTCAGTGGTTGCCCCTTTCCCGTTCTTTTTAAACACCAGAAACCATGGATGCCATGGACCCTTCAATTTCTGTGGGATCACCAAGCCAGGTCCATGTCGTGGATCGCCGCAAGTGGGGCGATTGGGGCCTCTCGGAAGTGAGACCCGCCTGGGGAGCAGACCTTTAGCCAGGATCATCATGGAGACCACCGAGAAAACGCGTAGAAAATCCCAGTGACTCGTTTTAGCCCTGGATTAATTGTGGATTATCATCATTATCACTACTATGGTTGGTTGAGCCATCTGACTTTCAGGGATTGAAACATACAGAAACTGGGTTTTGAACGAAAAGACGGACCATGGTTCGCCGCAACGAGGGTGGTATCCGTGCTGCCGGCTGCATGATTTCAGCTCAAAGTCAGCTGGCTTCATTGTGGCCATGACAGGAGCAGTGAGGATAGGGAGGATAATCCCACGCAAAAGATGTTAGTGGGCAAAAGCCGCAAATCTGGAATGATGACCTTAAGGGATATACAGCAGTGGCGAGAAGGGGAGAATCCACGAGTCATTCTGCAGCAGATCTCCTGGGGACTTCCGAATGGAACTCTGCCAGTGATTGCCGCAACTTGATGCAGCCGAATGCAGCTGCAGATGTGGTCCTCAGCACACGGAGACCCTGGAAACATGTGAAAAGTGGCGTGGTGTGACATGGTCAACCTGAGGCACTACTAGATATAGTGCTATATGTAACCCAGAACTCTCAGGGATTCATTTTCCGCTGGGTTGATTGTGGATATCACTACTATGGTTGGTAAAATGAGTCATTTGACTGGGTAAGGTATTGTAAGATCATGCGCCCTCCGGATATCAACCATGGCTGGCTGGGAAATCCCCGAACTAAACGGGCATTGAAATGGGAAAATCATCTAGTAAAATCGGGCATTTTCCAGCTAGCCATGTTTGATTACCAGTGGCTACTATCATTAGAGATGGTTCCGAAAAAATTATCACTGAGGTCTATTAGATTTCCTATAGTCCCAGAATGATTTTCTACTTGATGAGTAAACTGAGTAAACGTGAACCCATTCTGGAACTGGAAATCCTTGTCACTGAGGCCCGTCTAATGGGCGCTGCCCAGCAGATTGGTCACTTACAGGCACGCTGGATGCCCGGTCCAACGGGGATCCCCCCATCCGGATCAGGATTTCACCCACACAGATCTGGAATGAACTTAAAAAATTAGGGACATCACTGACATCACCCAAAAGATCGTGATTGCTTACACTACCAAGCAAGCTATGGGCGCTATGGGCGTATGCATTGATCTGTGAACTGGGAGCTCCTTTGGTTCAGAAATCATTTAGAACATCCGCAAGTTTGCAGACTCAATCCGTGACTGGTCAGGGACGGATTGAGGAGCTGGAGACAGAGGTCGCCAACGCGAACGCTTTTGTGCAGCAGCTCACGGCGAAGATGGCCAGTAGCAGTCAGCAGCTGACACAGCAGCTCCAGCCCGGGAACCCGGAATTTTCCGGGACCATCAGTTGAGGGGGAGACGAACATCCAGCTACCAGCGTTCTGCGGGTGGATGGAAATAGGGGGGTTGGGTGGTAGTCTATAATCAATGGGGTTAGCCAAAACCAACTTATAACTGGGTGTAGGTTAACACCTATGACCTATGAGTTTCCCCATATCTTGGGGGGATGAATCGACTTTGGTTCTTGATGCATACCGGAAATGTCTTTGCAAATAAACTGGGGATTTCTCAAACGAGCTTTGGATGTCTGGAGCCGTTCATGCTATTTGTATTTGGGGCGTGGATTTTCAGAAGGTTCATGTTGCAGGCAGTCAACCACTTTGTAGATCCGTAGGTTGTGCTTGGTGCAGCTTTTTTTTCGACTGTCTCAGAATCTGATCCAATCACTTGTACTGTAGATGTAAAACACTCTGATTGACAGTTTCAAAATGTTTCAAAGATGTCTGACTTTTCCAGCGACGCTTGAAATGGAAAAATGATGGATTTTTGTCTGGGGCTGGAAATGCCCCAGGGAGCAGAGAGAAGCTACTCAACGAGCTGAACAGGCTGAGGCCATTGGTGATTTTAGATTTGAAGCCTTGGAACAAGTTTGGATGGTATATATATATATATATCATTATATATCTATATACTGTGTATATAAATATATGTCTATTAATACACATATATATATATATCATTTTCAGAGCTCACTTGGTTTTGATATTTTTCTGTGAATTGGGTGGGCCAACCTCAAAATAGCTGCCTTTTGGTGCACGATATGGACACATGCCCATCCATGCGTCTGGGTCTCGGGTACCTAACAATGGGGTGGCATACCACTAGAGTTGATGAAGACATATATAGTGTATATGTATATATATATAATATATATATATCCCCAAATCTGTTTTTCAGAAACCAAATAGATAAACAATCAACTTCCCCAATAGATCATTGACAGAAAAGTGGTGTTCCCAGCGCCATTTCTGTGGGTTTCAGGCCCAAGTGGAAGCCCTTCGCAAGGAGGCGATGTCAGTTTTCGGCAGCTGGTTGGCTTTCCAAACATGGAGGTTGATCCCTAGAAGACGTAATTCCTGGTAGTTGGTTGTCTGTTTGATGCATTTACGGATTCCACAACTTCCACTGATGCTTCAGCATCATGTCCTTTTGAAGTATATGCGTATGATGCAATGAACGTATCTTCTTCCCAGCATGTTGAGCGTACTATTCTTCCAGGTGCGATATCATTCAGACAATTGTTCATTTCTTACGATTGAGGATTGAGGTGAAACCATACACGCAAACTTAACTATGAACACATTTTTTTGTTGCGTCTTGCAGCTAAGCAGACACTTGAATTCCTCACATACATTATAAAATTATATATACTGTAGCAAGCATGCTGTTGATTTTCCCATGCATGAGACTTGACTGTGTATCTCCTGCAAGTAAAACATGTCTTGACTATGTTTGGTCTGCGAATGTATTCATGCTCTCTGTTTGAGCAATTTTGCCCGCCCAAGTTTCCCTTCCTTCTTTGGTTGAAGCTGTTGGTTTGTTGCACAATTGAATCCGATTGCCCAGCAGACCGCTGAATGAAGATCATCTCTACACGTCCTTGTTTGCGTCTCCGTACAAATTTGGGGCCCCGGATTGCATTTTGGGTCCTGATTTGGGTCATATTTTGGTCCCTGTTTCGGGTTCCATTTTTGGGCACCGTTTTGGGTCCCATGCAATCCGGGGCCCCAAATTTGTACGGAGACGCAAACAAGGACGTGTAGAGATGATCTTCATTCAGCGGTCTGCTGGGCGATCGGATTCAATTGTGCAACAAACCAACAGCTTCAACCAAAGAAGGAAGGGAAACTTGGGCGGGCAAAATTGCTCAAACAGAGAGCATGAATACATTCGCAGACCAAACATAGTCAAGACATGTTTTACTTGCAGAAGATACACAGTCAAGTCTCACGCATGGGCATATCAACAGCATGCTTGCTACAGTATATATATATATATATAGATATGAACATATCTACATGAGCAATGCCAGAACGGAAGTGCAGGTCATCTCTGCTGAGCAACGGGCCAAAGCGAAAGCAAATGAGGCACCTCGTAGCAGACGTTCCCGATGGCTGTGTGTCTGCAATTCGGGATAATGTTCGGCTTTAGCAATGTCATAAACCAGCCATATGGATTGATGGCATATCCATTGTTATCCCATTTATGGTAAATTTTGGGATGGTGGATCAATCCTTTTTTTCTGACAGCCCCAAGTCATGGCCAGGACTCCGATGTGGCTCTGGGTCAGGTCTGGCACCCGCTGGATCGCCGAAAGTGCTTGGAGTTTGGGGCACCTCATTGCTGGACACTTTGGCTCGTTGGATGAGAAAAGACTACAGAATTGTTGCATGTTGCTGTAGACAACTGATGACAACTGCAGATGATTTCGGGTTTCAAGATTCCGGAAGCAACTTGATTTGATGCTGGTGCGGGATTTTTTTTTGTCTTGTGACGCCAAAAACATCCAAAAACCATTGGTTTCCCTATAAACTGGATGATCTTTGGGTCCAGCGTGGGTCCGGTTTCCCCCATTCGCAGGTCCGACAAGAGATGGAGAGAGAGCTGGAACATCTACTAAAACAGAAGGATGATCAGGTGGTGGGTCTGACGGTCCGTCCCATTGCATCCTAGCAGCAAATCCACCGATCAAATGAAGTCGTTTCATAGAATTTTTCAACATCAATTCCATAGATATATGACATATATGCATGGATAGGATTCTACGGTTATTGACCATAACTCCCTGCCCGAGCGTTCAAACAGCCGACCCGCCAAATAGACGCCAGAGATGCTAGAACCAAAAGAATTGGTAGGCTACCACAGCCAACAGCCTACTGTTTCCACGCCACAGTTGGATCATACACCACCATGTTTTGACCATGGTCCATGACAGAATCTACTGGAAGTTGAGTTGAGTTATTGAGTTGATTTCAATGGGAAAAGCACACGGTGGCATTCAGGGTGTATGCTTGACTGTTCAATGTCATATCCTACTGTACTTTATGCTTACAACATGTCCTTTTCTTTCATCCTCATGTGCGCCTCTGTAGGTCGTACTCGTTAGTACTTGCTTGTTTCGTTTGTTTACAGACTTGGAAGCATTCAAAAAGTGAGAGAAGATGGGCATTTGTTGATTAAGAACGTTTCATATCATATTTGCCAACAATTAAAAATTACATACGATCCTTGCCTGCCCACCCTGATTGTCATCTCCACAACTACTCGTGTTTGCCTTCGTGTATGCCAACACGAGACCTGTGGACAGTATCTAACTATCTAACATTCTAATTATCGAACTATCTGGCTATCTAGGTCTGAATATATATATATAATATACACATACAGATCAGTTGTAGACTGTAGAATGTCTATCTATCTAGCTATCTGTTTATCTACCTATCCATCTACATACCTGTTTATCTATCTATCCATCTGTCCATCTATCTACCTATCTTATCTATCTACCTATCTACTGCACTCTCTATCTATGTGTACATGTGTATTATATACACGCACACCTCATACACGTATGCAAGCTGATGCCAGTGGAAAGCAGCTGAACGCATGCTAAGCAAGTATTAAGAGGATAGTGAACCCTATCTGCTTCCTCACACTTTTCAATTTATCCGGCACATCCATTCTTGCACAAAATTTGCTTTCCAAATAGGTCAATCCTGGGCTTGAGAGTTTTTCCTGCGGTACTGTCAATGAGAATCTATATATGTATATAATTGTATATATATATACATGAGAACTAGCTAAAAGAACAATACTTTTTGAGTATACAAATCAGATAGCTAGATTCAACATATAGACATTCCAATTAAGATCCAAAACATTCGCAGCCTGCCGCCAGTTGCGCGCCCTCGAGACCAAGCTCTCCAGTTCCGAGCGGAGTCGCCAGAGTACCGGGAGGCACCACCTGGAACGATTGTTGGCCGGGAAACTATGTGTCTAAAAATATGTGTTTACAACTTTTAACTCAAGATGATACATATTAGTTACATGTTAACTTTAACTGTAGATTAGATGATATCATATATATATATACATATATATATACATGCATACTATATATATATAAATAACATGATATGAGGGTTCCCTGTTAGATTTCTTTTGGGATCAACCAGCTGGGGGCTATAGTGGCTTGAGAGTGTCTGTGAATCCCAGAGGTGTTCCACACCGCAGCTTCGCTTGTGGAAAAGAGCTGCTTGGGCTCAAACCAGCACATGGCCAGGGTTGAGCGTCGTGTCGGCGTCACGGACTGGAATGGAGAATTGTGCTCAGAATTGTAGCGTTCGAAAGCGATGAGATACGTTATATACTATCGTGAGTATCATCATTCCCATCATTTTCATTATAGTAATCATCGTCATCGTCGTCATCATCATCATCATCACCATCACCATAACCATCACCATCACCACAATCACAACTATGATCATCATTATGAAAAAGATTCTCACTTTTATATCTTTTATCGTTATATGATTGTATATTATTTGTATATTCTCACATAATTCAAAACCAAGGTTGGGTACCTGTGAAAACATATCCCCAGCCTGTGGTTCAGCCAAGCCATGGCCCTTGGCGTCCATGGCCGCCGTGCGCGTCATGTGTTGCCAGAGAAGATTCGGGTGGAGAGGGCCTGGAACTTTTACCGTGCCTCGATTCGGAAAATCCTCAGGAACCTACAATAAACAATGGTAAAAAGGAGGGTTTCAAGGTTTTTTCCAAGTATATCCAAGGAATTGGGGGTTATAGATATGTCCCGTCTTTTTGGGAGTTTAAACTTATGTTTGAACTGTCAAAGACGGCTTTTTGACGATTTTGGTGCTTAAATATCAATTGAAGATCCAAATTGAAGCCCTTCAAAGAGGTGATGTTTACAGAAGAAGACATGTAATGGAACCTAGATGAGAGTGCCAAGGCTGTAGGCCTCATCTGAGATTTCTGCAGTGGTTTGCAGGTGAGATGGGATCGCCGCGCTTCATTTGCGCACCCATGGTGGGGCAATCCGAACTTCCTTTTCGGCTGATGCTACGGAAAGCTGGATGCGATCTGTGCTATACGCCCATGATGTGCCCTGGGCAGAGGTCTGGAAGCAGCACGGAGCATTTTTTTTGCCAAGAGGAAGTGACAAATTTTGTGGCCGGGGTATCCCCATGAGCCATGCCATCTATGCCCAACTTGGATCGCTGAGGCATGCTGAAGAATTTGCAGGCCGAGTTGGCAAGTGGGATGCAGACAGAAAGTGGGTCAACGCCTATTCGTTCTTTTTGTGTGCAAATAGCTGGTAAAGACACCGACAACACCTGGCGATTCAATGAAATGATGAGTCCCAGACTCCCAGAGAATACGGGTATGGGTCAGAACCCATGAGTTTTCCGTATAAATAGTGATAATAGTGGGTTCGTATATGGGTCAACATCTACGAGCTCAAAAAGGTAAAGATAGTGGGATGAACATCCATAGGTTCCAACGTATTAATCCCAACATAAAACACATTTCTGCAGGGGTAGTTTCTGGTAGGAATATCTTCGCCATGTTTTGAATTGACCAAGCCTTTGATTGAGCCGGACCTCCTTTTTTTGCCTTGGAGATGGGCAGATGCAATTGGCCAGTTTCAATCGATTGATTTGAGGGGAACAAATTGCTCTTCGCACAGGTAGTTCTGAGGAAGAAATGGCGAGGCAAGGATTTGCCACCTGCGCAGAAGACAGGCCAGGTGTTCATAACAGGATGATACAGGATGTGCTACACATGTTTTCATCATGTGTTTTGAAGAATTATGTAACTCGCAAAGCGGGCATTTCATAGAATTCCCATACTTACCAGACTATGAAAGTATCTCTTGCGTTTCAAGGGAGTGGCAACTCCTCTTGGCAACATGCCATCGGATCCAAAATGATGAAGATGATTGGATTCGGGGACATTCGACTGAAACCTTGTTCATCAAGGATGAGGAGTGGTGGTGCGTTACTAAGAAAAGCCTAAAAAATCTAGTCACAAGCTCTATGAACATCATGTTCTCCTAGGTGGCTATTCCCAACAAATTCAACTAATTGCCATTGCAGATGATTTTGTGAAACCATGACCAGTACCATACCCTTACCATTACCATTACCACTATCATTACCAGCCGCCTGGGTGAGGCCCTTGGTGGTGCAATTCTGTGCCAAGACGCCTGAGGATTTTCTGCAAGCAGCGCTTCAGGTTCAGGAGTGGCTGTAGCTGGGGGGTATGGGTGGAAAATTGGGTAGCACTAACGGTTGCTTTTTTTTTTTAATGGGGAGAATGGGATTGTATACCCATTAATAGGTCAACAATTGGATGTGTTGCTGACCACCAGTTTTGACTACCCAGATGTGTTGCTGACAGTGGTTGATGGATAGCTTATGGCAACGGGAGAAAAATCAGAGGTTTGTCCTTGGATTCTTTAGCCGCATTCGCAGTTTGCAGCACATCCTCCAGGATCGTTGCGATGCGGTCGACCTCAATCTTGGATGTCCGCAGAGCAAAGCCATGAAAGGCACAATGTGTTTGCAAAACAAACCAACAAACATGGCCTGAAGTGATTAACCCCAAAAAACATGATCTGTTGCAACACCGTGCCCCCAAGTTATCAGTTGGTCTATGATCCACATGAAACCGACCCAAGTGATATGAGTATATAAGATGATATAAGTGGCGTAGGCGGCGTAGGATCTTAGCAAAACATAGCAAAACTATCTTAAACCCAACGATGTAAACCATCTTAGGATATCTTAGGTAACTATGGGGCTCTGGTGATCTCTGGTGTGCCTTTCCGCAGGTGGCTGGGGTGGTGCCTTGATGGAAGAAGATCAGTGGCACTTGGTCTATGCCATCCTTCGCCACGCATGCACCGCGCCGGAGCTGCGAATCCCGGTGACCTGCAAGATACGCATCTTTGCTGCTGGGATCCAAAGCCCATGGGCAAAACATGGGGATGGTTCCCCAATGTTCCCCAAGTGATTTTGCTTTTTCAATGGGAAGAAAATCCAGGTTTTTAATCCGGAAATGGGGTATTCCCATTTTGAGAGAAAGCCAACTTGGTTTTAGTTTAAATCTGATGAACCATGGCATTGCATGGATAAATAGAGAAACTCCCACATTGAGGAAGATGGAGTATGCTGGTGGCAAACTTGCTTGCTTTTTTAACCCTTGCAGCAAGAAAAGGTGTCCCGTAAAGAACCATGTTTTACGGTGGGGGAGAGGGATTCGTGCGTATGTGCCATGATGGTGGGATGATGTGGGATGGCCAGCATGGCTTTGTCTGAAAGTCACTGGAAGACCTTCAATTTTTTGACGGTTGATCGGAGTTGATCAATGGCCAGATGTTGGGATATACCCTCTGGTAAACTAACATAGCTATGGAAAATCACCATTTTTAATGGGAAAATCCACTATTAATGGTCATTTTCAATAGCTATGTTAGTTTACCAGAGGGTATACACTATTTACCGCTTGCAGAGTTCATCATATTTTCCACATGTCCCACGTCTTCTGCGGAGGCGGATGATCGCAAGACGCTGCGCTTTGCCAAGATGTTGGAGGAGCACCATGGGCTATTTTTAGTGGTGAAAATAGGGTATAGCCCAGAGATATCCATTGAAAAATAGGGAAACTCATGACTAACCAGTGGATTTAGGGCTACAGTACCATATTTTAGCCAGACAGATCCATATATTGTTTTAACGGGTAAACTGACTATAATCCATCGGAATTTGGGGTTGCTCGACTTTTGGAAAACAAATGATGGGTTGAAGATGGCTATGCGTCAAAACTTGAGACTGGTGACTATTATTTGAAACACGTGCTATTTTTGGGTACACCAATTTTGACCCATCCACAAATGTCAGGGGAAGTGGCTGTTGATCCTCCAAAGCCATTTCCCACAGAGCTCCGTCATAGCTGGTTGGTCGATTAATAGAAATGGTTGCCTCACGTTGAACAACTGATGGGTAAGGGATAGCACATGGAATCAAATCCAGCCCCCATTTTTAAGGCCACGCATGTTTGAACACCACGTGAGTGTGAAGTGTAAGGACCCAGCGTCAACATCTTCACGCTGGGAACTCCCTTAAACCCTAACCACTTGTGGTTCAACCAGACAATTGGATGCCTAATCAAATTCTTTGTCAACATCCCCAGCATACCCATTTAAGTCGTTGGTTGATTGGAATCCCCCATGGACAAAAGTTACCATCTCCATGGTTAAGTCCTGTCAGGTCATGGATAATGCTGGGAGGCTTGTGGAGGCTCCCAAAAACAACTCCGGATCTTTCACAATGCAAGTGATCCATCTGGCATGTGAACATCCCATGAAATTCATGACCGAGATACGGGTTTGCTTGAAAAGAGGAAAGGAGTGCTTCTCAAAACTTGATGTTCCCTATTATCATGATCATTTTCATGAAATTCATGATCATTTTCCCTATTATTGGTATACTATTTTTTTTAATTTTCCGACAAACCAGGATTAATAGCCCATGGTGTTGGTAAATCCCATTAAACCACCAGGATTTCCACATTAAACCTCCATGAAATCCACATGAAATCCACACGAAATCCACATGAAATTCACACTAAATCCCACATCAAATCCGATAAACCGAGATTAAATCCACAACAGATATCCCACATTATAGCTACATTAGATAGGTGGAATCTCATTAGACCCACATTAAATCCAGATGATATCCCCAGAATCGCAGGAGGCAGGCTGTTCCTTCCTGACGGTTCATGGCCGTCAACGCGACCGAGCGCTGCATCACGCCCCGGCACGCTGGGAGGTCAGCAATTTCATGGGCTAGTGGGATTTTATGGTGATTTATATAGTGGGATTTTATTGGATTTTGTGGGATTTAATGGGATTTGATGGGATTTTATCATGGGAATATCATGGGATATACTGTCGGATTTCATAAAACGTGGCTAGACAATCCCCTAGG